ACAGCAATCATGGTCACGGGAGAGACTAAGATTATAGACGTCTCAACTAGTCTAAGAAAGTATTATCTCTACAATATTTGTTTGAATTTTTTTTCTAATGTCCATACTTTATGTGAAGCCATCCTCTGGTAAAATCTATTTATTTCATTAAGAAAAAAAAATAAAAAATCAGTACACTTATAGCAAGAATATTGCGTATAACAAACACAAAAAATATTCACGCCATTTTAGTGGTTTAAGTTGGTTAAAATATATATTGTATTTGTATCAGCCCTTTTTAACGTTCCACTGCTGGGCACGGGTTTTTCTTCAGTACGAGGGGGAATCAGGCCATAGTTCACCACGCTGGCCAAGTGCGGGTTGGAGGACTTCACATTTCTTTTGAAAGCTTGCTAGGTTCTCTCAGACATGCAGGTTTCCTCATGATGTTTTCCTTCACCGTTAAGACAAGTGGTAATCAAGTGGAATTGATTCGCACATGAAAATATCAGACGTGCGAGACCCGGGATTTGAACTCGCTTCACTCAGTTTCTCAAGCGAGCGCGCTACCACTGGGCTACCACTGCCTTTAACACTGCCTACCTACCAAAATATACATACTAAAGTAAAATTAGCGTTAAAGTTTAAAATTTTACAGATATTACAAATGCTAATCTTCTTTTAAGCATTTAATATTTTTGGACGTATCAAGTATCATCAAAATATACAGGTTGTTTTAAAATGATTATAATATATACTCTTGCACTATTCGACAGGCTTACTTAATATGACAATTGGGACATAACCCTGTCTGTCTGTTTGTGATCCTCTATATGGATTTCGATGTATCGCGAGGACGTAGATATCATAGGGACATCATAGGGACGTACTTAGGCTTAGATCTTATATCTCTATCCCGCATAGTATGCATGTTGCTGACAAAAATTACCGTTTATAAATACATAATATGGTAAATATAAGCATAGGATATTTTTCATAATATGTACATAATACATATGTATGCCCATACTAATATTATAAATGTGAAAGTGTGTTTATTAGTTTGTTTGTTTGTCCTTCTTTCACGTCGAAACAGAGTGACGGATTGGCGTGATTTTTGTGTGGAGATAGTTGGAGAGCTGGAAAGTGGCATAGGCTTTTTACCACGGGATATTATCTCCTTCCCACGGGAAAACGTTATAAGACAACCCAAAAAATTATTTATGAACAGAATTACTTGTAACTTGGTATTAATACTCTTCAATATAATTAAATAAATACGTATTTAAGCATTTTTCGAAATTCATCCCATAAGGAGGTAAAAGAGGGGAATAAAGTTTGTATTAAACCAACCTTTTTAGAGTTTTTTGTAGTTTTAGCGCGACCGAAGCCGCGGGTTCTGCTTATATCTAATATATATATATGATAGCACTTGTCTTAAATAGCTTTAACAAGGCGTCCTACGTAAATATTATTTTGGGATTTCGATTCGCAATTTATTCTTTTCTGACAACCTGTATTAGATATTTAATTGTAATCGTTAAAATAAATGTAAACAGTATATTTGTATTGGATTTTACTGTATTTAGTTAAATAACCGTTGGGTCAACGTCGGTCAGGTACTGAAAATAGCGGATGTAAATGAATTATCTGTAAGCACTGCGACGTGATTCTCCACCACACGATGCACTCGCTGTCAAACTTGCTTATATTTTTTCCAGTTATGTGTGTGTTTTTATAGTGAAAACATTATTGAAATATTGACACAAGCTTAGTCAAAAATTTCTTTGTTTTGTATGAATTTTAGTAAAATTGTTAATTTATATAAAAACTGAGAAAAGATTTATAAATACGTAAATGCAAAATACTAATGAATATTACATACAATTCAATTTATCTTAACATGAAAAAATATTGAGATATTATTGAATAAATACAGAAAAATATCCTTTTTTTATTTCTGTTTATTTAATTTATTTTGCAAAAAATCTACACTATTTTGTAATAAATGAAAAATAATTTGGTCATAAATAAAATTGATTAAAAAATGTTTTTAATCTTTAGAAATAACTTAGAATACTGTGTAACTAGTATTGTTAGCCAAAAAAATTTTGTTTCATATTAATATACGAAACTTCACTATAATAATAATTATTTTATAATTCTCAGGACGTAGACACTAAAAATTTCGTATTTTTTTTTTAATTTTTTTATTGCAACCCATATAAATTTATTTGAATTCACGTATTTATTTAAATTCAGTTGTATAGTTCTACGAGCAATACTACAAAATATTTATCTATTATTTAATTAAGAAATAAAATAAATACTAGTATACATGTATTTCTGTGTATATTCTCACGTTTAAAGAAAAATCAATCAAATCAGTGTATGTGGGTTCGGGAAGTTTGAGAAGCAGTGGAGCGCGGGCGTCACGTGCTATATAAAGTGAGGATTCGGGCGAGTTCCAGCATTCAGGCAACAGGTGGTGCACGCGAAGGTAAGCTAGGGTTTTATTTTCGTAATAAAAATATTTTAAATGTATGGATTCGAAATAGACATCTCGCAACAATACTTTCAATAAACTCGGTTCTAAAACTTCTTTTTTTAACATAAATGTGGAATAATAATATTTTTTTTAATTATAATAAAAATCTCTATAATCATACAAATTCGTCCTTTGAAATTTAATTTTTGTGGTTAAAATATCGTATTCTGAATAATAAAGTAGGTAATCGAGATGTTTCTATTAAAGGTATATAGCAAACAAACATTCACGTTAAAACTAAAGATGATTTTGTCACATTGAAATTTTAAATTAAATCTTTGAACTAAATACTTATTAAATTATTAAATTAATCACTAAATTATTTTTTATTAGTCTTTACAATTTTAGTCTAAAAAAACTGTGCGTCATGTACTAATAATTATGTAGTAAGTTAATATTAATTTTATTATCTGGCAGAATTAAAAATAAACAATTCTTCAAATTGTAAAATGTCTGCATTACAAAAACAGAGTTCAACCTATTACAATCAAGTGAATTAGAAATTCTTTTTACATTGTTTCAGTGAAAAAAACTTAAAACACTTTTAATGTAATCAGGAATTTTGTTAGTTTTCGCTCACATATTATATTTTCACGAAATATTTTCTTAATTGTGTATTTTTTAATATATAATAAAATATACATAATATGTAATTGTTATGTATATAAATTATATATTACCTATATAAATTAAGTAAAATCACAATGATATACATTTTGTAAAAAAAAATATCTTCCTTCCTTTTATTTAGAAATATGTAAAAAAGTAATCCCCCGACTCTCTACTAATCTTATAAAAACTTACTTTACATATAAAAATAGTAATTTAATTATATACTGCCTTTACAAATATTTTTATTGTATAAAAGGACATTTCTCTGATTTTTCATCATCCCGCACTTAATTTAACTAGTGGTCCCCGAGGCCAGTATTAATGTACCGTCTCCTCAGAAATTCATAAACACCAGACCATATTTAATCTGTTTCTTCTCATTCTACAATATTAAAAATACCTAAGTATTATTTTATTTGTACAGTGTTTCCTTATAGCCCACAAGGATTTGCGGGGGTGGATAATATTAATTAATATCGGTTCGACAGTTCTGAGCGGTCACATAAATGTCATTGAGACGAATTTTAAATAAGATAAATTAAAATATTATTAATAGTTTTTTATTTTGAAAAGTGATATTCACTTAATTGGATTTTTGGTAATAATTTTACCTATCATTGCTCAATGATTGAATAGTCCAATTGCAAAGTCTTAAAACTCTCCAGTTTCCTTACATGTTATGTAAAGAATATGATACTGAAAATTAATTATTAAAAAAAACCAACGAAGTTTTTGTAAAGAAATTCGGGATCATTTTAATCAAAATAAAGTAATTAAAAGTCGTTTCTATAGTTTAGATTACCTACATAAGGGCTCTTTTCTAAAACAAACTTCCGTGTGATTTTATCTAATAATGAAGTCTGCGTTACGTGATGTACGCGGGAATGAGTACATTAAAATCAGATAAGGTTAGTTCAATCAAAACAAAAACATAACAAGGGTGTTATTTTATGTAAATAAATTTCTGAATCTCTTTCTTCCTATAAATATTTAATGATTTTTCCATCTAATTACATTTTCTCCCGAAAATGTCTCTGCTGTTTTAAACATTTTTAAAAATCAATTTAATCTACGCGTAAGTTATTATATATGTGTACATAAAAAGAGATAAAAGTTTATTTTCTAATGGTTTAAAGTTAGACTTTCAGCAATTTGGCTAACATATTTGGCTTTTTGAAATAACGTTTGAAAGCAAAGGGAAGTCCGATGGCAAATACTAGGCTTAACCAGATTAAAATTAACTCGCTCTACTATAAACAATCTCTAAGAAAAAAATTACATCATTGTTGTTTCAAACCGATGAATTTCTATCTTACTTCTAATATGAAAAATGTGAAAGTTTAGATGTTTGGATATTTGTTACTTAATCACGCCAGAACGTCTAAACGGATCTGAATGAAATTTGGCACAGACATAGATTATAATCTAGAATAGCACATAGATTACTTTTTATCTCGTAAAAATGTACGGTTACCATGGGATAGATTTGTCTTTGTTTCTAGAGGCGAATCCGAGCGAAGCGAAAGTGAGCCGCTAGTATATTATATGTTTGGATTATGTATCCAAACGAATAACTAATACAAATAAGAAAGTAACTGTCTGTCTATCTGCTACGTGATTATTACGTTTTCACGCCTGAGCCGCTGAACCAATATTGATGAATTTTGGTATAGAAATAATTGGACATTGGAAAGGGGCCTTTTGTCGCTAAAAAACCTAAAGGGGGTAAAATACGAGAAGGAAGTTTTTATGGGGAATCTATAATTTAAATAAGCGTCGATGGGCTAAATGTGTCACATAGTTTATTATATAACTGTTTTTTTATTCACTAATTAAATAATATCTTTCTCAAGCAGGAACAATGCAGACCACAGCTATATTTGCACTCACTCTCATCTTGGCGTCATCCATCGCCGCCAGCTCATACCGTAAGCATATTTAAATTACTTCTATATTATAATAATGAAATGCTGTTCCTTGGTAAGCACATCCCTCGAGAATGGCCGAACTGATTTACCAATTTTTTTAAGTAGTGGAGGCAGTCTGACTAAGATTTTTTTACGAAAAATTTAAAAGTTGACATGAAAATTAGAAAATTCGATATTAACTGAAAGTGCTTTTTGGGAATGGGTTCAGGAATAAATTTCTGTTTATATAGACCTTCATATTTTAATAAATAATCTATACATAGAATAAAATTCTAACTGAGTAGAATCTGTACACTAAATATTTTTTGGAAAATCTTATTGAAATAGTCATTATTATGAATACAGAGGCCGAATCTATAGTTTTTAGAATTTTTCTCTGTCTGGGAATGCATCACGAGAAAACCACGAACTAGACAGATTTTGATGAAATTCGGTATGGTGATAGCTGGTTGTCCGTGTCAACATTTAGGATACTTTTTAGTGCGTGAAAATATCTCATCTCTGAGAAATCTAGGTGTACTAACCGTTAAAACGTACCTAGAGACGAACCCGAGCGGAAGGAGCGTGAGTCGCTAGTATCTACATAAAAATTAAACTAGTACTAGTATATTCAAAATACCGTTTTTTATAAAGAGTTAACAATAACTAATAAGTTTAACATACTTTGATTTTAATTAAAAATATATCAATTATAGATCTCTCATGCTATGCATATTGGAAGCGATGGATTATTTCTGAAGAAACGTAAAATTCTTTTGCAAATTTTCATTAACATTTTTTCGTAAAAACATTTCTTTTATATGAAAAATTAAATGATTGATAAAAGTCTACGTAGGTAATTGTGGTAGAAAGTTAATTTCTTAAGCATTTAGTAAAAAGCTGTTATTTTGGTTAATACCACTTCAATTTTATTTATCTGTATAGATTTTATTTTTTAAATTTCAAAGATAGCATTCCTACATGACTGAATTCATGTTCAATGGTAATTGAAATGTAAAAAATCATCAAATATGTACAATAAACGATAACGACACATGAAGAAGGAACATATAAGTTCAAATTAAAATTTATTATTTTCATGTAAGTACGTGATGTTTTTTGTGTTACGAGACGATGCCAATGGTGAATTCATTTTCATGATTCATTGGTCAAGTGTGATCCCATAAAAATTTCGAGAAGTTATTTTAATAGTTTAGAATAATCATTTAAATTTATTCAAATCTGCCTTAATTTTTATTAATGGCTCAATAATTACAGAGATCATCAAATGATGCATGCCTCTTTGTATGTAGTTTCTATTTCTCCTCTCTTTGTAGGTTGTATGGATATTAAAGGAATTTTATCTTATTTATTATGGTATGGTGTAAATCGTTTATTGAGTAAAGGTCTCAAACTGTAAGTTCAAAGGGACAATAAGATATTTCGTATATGAATAAAGTTCATCCAACTTAATAATTGACTAACACTTCGCGCCAAAACTTTGTTTATTAGAGTGGTTGGAACTTTACCATTTATAATGCTTAATGTTCTGTTCATATATGGAATATTAAATGTATACAGTGACTTTGTATACCTTTGCAACGTTGTAAAATTTTAAGTTATACAAAAGTTTCCGTATCATACGCTATATACGTATAACTATTTGGTTTTAGATTATGAATTTTAGTTAAAATATCGTCTTTCGTATGATGATATAACGAGAAATTAAAACTTGGAAGTTGAATGCCTTTACAATTTGTAATTTGTAGGCATCAGGATAACAAAATAAGTCTAATCAATAGTTGTTTTACATTTCATTTCATTTAAATTTGGATTTTTTTCATTTATAACAAAATACTGAGCTATTGAAATATTTGTCTAGACTTGTGGAGTGTTTGTGTATAACTCTACCTAAAAATGGGTAACCTAAAATGTAACCCAAAATTGGATTCGTCACTTGATACGGTAAATGCAAAATATTCAAAAGAAGGATAAGAAAATAATTGGGACATGCATTTGTTTCTGAACATTTTATCCTAAAGCGCGCGTCAAAATCTTAACATAGATCCTTAAAAAACGGAAAATGTTATTTACAATGTTATAGGATAACTTGTTTCCGCTTATAATTATTATTCTACGGCTATAAATACAGAATAAAAAAATTTTTTTCTCATTACGGAAAGCCACAATTTAATTCCTTTTTAACAGTTACTATATTATTTGTTCATTCAGTAGGTATATGTAGCTACTATCCTTATTAGTATTGAATTATTTGTTGCCTGTTATGTTTATTTTATACATTCGACTCACCCTCGCCTCGTTCAGCTCAGCGTCCCTAAGTACGTTTTGACGGTTAGTAGGGGATAGATAAATCTCTATGTCTATTCGATACTTATAATATATTTTCCAACCCTCCAACTCCAACCATACAAAAAATAATGCCAATCCGTCACTTAATTGCGACGTGAAAGAAGGACAAACAAACAAACAGAGTAATAATCAAACTGTATATTGTAGAAAGAGAAACTGTTAATTAAACCTACAAATGCATTCAAGTAAGGAAAAAGGAAAATGTGATTTTACGTTTTTCCGTAAAATATATCCAATTTTTCGCTTCATAAAAATCTTTCTCGGACTTCATCGAATGTTTGAAAAATAATTAGCCGAATTGATCTGGCCGTTGTGGAATTTTGCGCCAAGCAACACATTTGGCTATTCATTTTTATCTATAATATTGTTTATTAAGGTTTTAGTAACTAATGTATTTTTGTATGTAAATTATTTATGATATCATATGTATATATGCATTTAACATTTTATTTATAACTCTGTTATGTATTCACAACCCTTCCACTACACAATAAAGGTAAAAAGGTTGCCTGGAAAAAAATCGCTGTTTTAGCGATAAGGCCGTCTTTTCTGCATTGTCCTACCACTCTATTTTTTTTGTTTGCTTTTTGTGCGTTTAATAAAAAGTATTATTATTATTATTAAAGCTTGGCCATATAAAGTTTGATTCAATGTAAGTTTAACAAACAACAATAGAGAAACCTTTCGTGAGAAACTTTTCTTTATAATAAAGAAACTGAAAAAGCTATAGAAAGTAGTCTCTATAAATAAAAAGTGATAACAAAGCAAGAAATTCATAGAAAAAGTTGATGTTACATCCGAATTGGTGAAATGTAAAAAGTAGAGGAAATATAAACAATCACAAACCACCAACTTACACTGATATGGATGGGGTGCTCGCATTTGCCAATTTGAGACTCTCGCCCCTTCACTGTTTGTGTTACAAGTATATTCTTAGAATCTAAACTACAGAAATAAGATTATGTCTAAAAATATAGTATTGTTTTTTTTTACTTTTGTTTAGTGCATTCATGTTCGAAATTATTGTCATTTTTATATTGTGTGCGTTAAAATACTGTGAACTTATGAAAAAGGTTATTAATATTTTTATTTCTCACTAGCGACTCATCCTCGCTTCGTTCGGGTTCGTCCCTTTTTTTTTTTTTTTAACGTTGGGAAATGCATTTACGCACGAGGTGTGGGACTCACCGGCAAAGCCAGTACTACCCACTAAAACCCAACAAAGCCTTCCCCCGTCTTAATGGGGCGTCGCAGGATCGCTTACGCATTCAACTACGACGCCCCGACGGCAGGTCTGCCGAAGCAGACCACAACAACCACGGGGTTGCTCCAAGGTCCACTCTGCTATCAGAGAAGTACCAGGAGCAACCCGCATGGTTCACCGCCCTCCGAAGAGGGCGCCTCCCACCGCCCACCGAAGTGGGCCACCTCCCTGTGCGTTTCTTGGCTTCGCGCCCGGTTGGGTTGCCGGGCACTACTGAGCCCCCCACCACGACAAGGTGAACGCACGTTGGGGGGGTTCGGGTTCGTCCCTAGGTTGATTCCCCATACAAACTTTCATCCCCATTTTCACCCCCTTAAGGGACGTCTTCCGAGATAAAAGTATTTTATGTCCTTCCCAGGGTCTCAAACTATCTTCTTACCAAATTTCATCTAAATCGGTTCAGTATATCCAGAGATTACCCCCTACAACGTCACAAACTCACAAACTTTACATCTTTATAATATTAGTATAGACTAACGATTTACCTTCATTGTTTTTGGATGGGCCCTACGTGTCTAGGAGTAGCCTGTGTTACTTCAGGTCATAGCCTATCTGTGTAATAAATTTTATCCAAAAACGTGCAGCCCTTTCAGAGTGTAGGAGTTACAAGCATACACACATATAAGCTTTTACATTATTTGTACGATTAGGTAAAAGTAAAAAAATATATATTACAGCGTCATTCATTATGTAGCGTGCCAGCTCTACCCACTGTAAAGTTGAAAGCTCAATTTATACGGGGTGTATTTTCATTGATAAACAAATGAATGAAACATAAATAAACTTGTACTAACTTTTTTCTGAGGGGCTTAGAAAACATGTCATTATACAGTTGTTGAGGAATAGAAATATAAATAAATATTTATAAGGGAATCAAATGTTATGATTATATGACAATAATTTTTCTTCTCCCTGCCCATTTCCCAATCACTTGGGATCGGCGCAGTACATCTTCTGTACTGAGGATTTGGCAGAAGTTTTACGACCGGCCGCCTGCCTGAAGTCAACCCTTCTTGGGAATTATATGACAATAATTAATATTAAAAAAACATTTTTAAAAACAGGCTTTTATATCATATAATTGTTTATAAATGGGTTTAATTTAATTTAAAGTTTATTTTTTATTTTTAGGTACTTATTCATATTCTTCTCAGCAAACCCTTTCATGCATTTCAGGGGGGTGCATAAAAAAAAACATAGTTCGCCATCGTTGGGAGTGCGCTATGTTGGATTGAAATTGACATCACTTATCTAACCATTACATGCATTGTCATGTAAATTAGTTGTTTGACATGTCATGTTTAGACATGTACTAACTAAACAATGCAAAATTTCAACTCAATTAGTTGAAAATAACTACTTTAAAATTCAGTTATGAGATTTGACCCGAACAAACATACATACAAACGTTGCGAGTTAAATAAAAGCTTGTAAAAAAATCACGTTCATCTACACATCCTAGATGCTTGGCATCCCATAAATGAACATGCATCACGTTTATTTCTGTCTCGCACGTGCGAATCGTGACGATCTTCCTACTGAGGTTTTCAGTTTTTTTGTTGAGGTGTTTTTGTTTGTTCATTTTGCTCGTTTGTACCTTTTTAATAAATCCATAGTTCGCTTTTTTATTGTTATAGGTATATGAAGCTTTTATTTTACTTAATGAGTTTGTTGTTGTTTCTTTGTTTGTTTGTTTGTTTGTTTGTTTGTTTGTTTGTTTGTTTGTCGTACCGGTGTATTGAAACAGAATATTAAACATTTTATTGGATTTGAGTAGATAGATACCTACTATTGGTGGTAATACCGAAGGTTATGTAGAAATTTTTAACTATTCTACTGGATTATAAATAAAAGCTTTTTTACGTTACGTTTACGTTTGTTAAGCTCGGTTACGTTCATTTAAATTATATTCTAGTTAAAATGAAGTCTTACTATGTTTTCCCTTACAGATAGCAGTACAAAGCTACGTCGAGATGGAGTATTGAACCTATATCCCTTCCCGAGGGTGGGCCGCGCGTCACACCGTACTTGGGAAGTGCCTATTAACGATTTACAAGGTAAGATCATATTACTTTAACTAGTGAAACAATACGGTTTGATATATTCTGATAATGATGATATAGAAAGTGAAATACGAATACAAGGAAAATTATCCTCCTCGTATTGAAGCGAGGCCCGTGCCCAGTAGTGGGACGTTAAAAAGGGCTGCATATATACGAATTATGAATTATGTATACGAGTGTGTATGTATAATAATGATTTTAATAACTTCATATTAACATTCCATGACATAGAAATATCGTAACGACGCATTCTACCCCTTTCATCTATGTTTTTTACCACATTCCTTTTATAATAGTAGCTTTGCTTTTAGTTTTTAAGAAACAATATTCATAAACAATAGTGATGGTATGTAAAATTGCCCCAAGCTTTTACCGTTTATCCTCTTTATCAACCTTCTAACGACTTATTCGTGTCTAGCTTGCGTCCCAATACAAACTTTTATCCCCATTTTCACCCCCTTAAGGGATGATTTCCGGGATAAAAAGAATTCTATATTCTTCCCAGGGTCTCAAACTATCTTCTTACCAAACTTCATCTAAATCGGTTCAGTAGATCCAGAGACTACTCCCTACAACCTCACATACTCACAAACTTTACCTCTTTATAATATTAGTATAGACGAATGTAAAGAAATATAGAAAAATGTTTTTTTTTATTGTTTCCCTAATAACTATTACTAGACTAAAGAAACAAATGAATTAGTCCCTCTTTTTAAAAACAATTGCTTTTAAAACAGATGGACCTATGAAACGACAACTCTACGCCTTCCCCCGAGTTGGTAGAAGTGATCTCCGTTCAGAACTTCAGCTTGAAGAACTGCTCTTTGGTCGACGTAATCCATACGTAAAGAGAGACATGTATGAGCCTCATTCAGATGCTGATACTCCTGGAATGTGGTTTGGACCAAGATTAGGCAGGGGTTTCAAAAGCGAAGATGACGGTAAGATATGGCTTAGATGCTGTTTTCTACGCTAAGATTTATTATAACCAAACTAGGAAACGTATTATATCTTATGGTACAATAAATACACGAGAATCGAATTTGGGAACATTGGCGAAGTGGACACAAAACAAAATTTTATAAATATCCCAATTTATGACTTGCATCCACTAGATTTTTACTGAATCCATATTATATAAACTATGTAGTATATACTAACAAATTCCCCTAAAGTTCTGTTCCATTAAGCGGTTCAAAAGTCAACTAATACACTTAAAATTTTAAAAGCTTCCCATATTGATAGTGCACGCCACTGAGGGTTGTATGTGTAAAATAACAGATACGCTTATATCAAATAAATTAAGCTTTAGATACTACATTATTTCATACTAATATTATAAATGCGAAAGTAACTCTGTTTGTTTGTTACATTTTAACGCTTAATTCGCTGAACCGATTTAGATGAAATTTGGTATGGAGATATTTTGAGACCTTGGGAAGGATAGTTTTTATCCCGCAAATCATCCTTAAGGGGGTGAAAAGGGGGTGCAATATTTGTATGGAGAATCAATCATTTCTCAATTAAGGGATATATTTTTATTATTTTTAAAGTAATTACCTATTTTTCCATACTTATGTACATATGTACATACATTGTATAGTCTATTTTATACTAAAGGTTAAAACGTAAGTTGCGCCGTAAGTTAGTAAGAAAGTAATGGACAATTTAAGAATTTAATAAACAATATAAAACAGATATAGTGTACATATGATTCCGCTATAAACTTGAAAATGTACTTCCGAAAAATAAAAAAGGTATCATCTAAATATAGCATACTATGTAGAGATACTAAAATATGCAGTAGCTATAGTGAAATGTAAATTATATCGGTATTCTATTCATCTAAAATAATATGTGGGTGTAGTTAATTATAGATACACTAGCGAGTCAATCTCGCTTCGCTCGGGTTCGTTCCTTGATTCCCCATACAAACTTTTATCTCCATTTTCACCCCCTTAAGGGATGATTTCCGGGATAAAAAGAATTCTGTGTCCTTTTCAGGGTCTCATACTATGTTCTTACCACATTGAATCTAAATTGGTTCAGTAGACCCATACAACGTCACAAACTCACTATCTCGTAAACTCACCAACTTTACCTCTTTGTAATATCAGTATAGATAGGTATAATATATCTATACGAATATTGTAAAAAGATTAAGCTTGTAAGTTTGTATATAGGGGATACAGATATACTACAGATCTTATTCTAAAAATTCTAACACTAAAAGGCAGCTATAATACCGCCAAGTGCTACAGGCTATTTTTTATTCTAATAAAACGTGTTTACTGTCAGAAATCATAACAATTTTAATTGAAGTCAAAAAAAATGGCCGTTGAATTACTTTATCAGATATTATGAGGTATCTCAGCTCTAAAGCTAAGCGAGGGCAACTCGCTAATAGTATACATATAATAAATACTTGCTTAAAGAACTACTGTAAACAAAAGCAGCAAATTTTTTAAGTGTTTAAAATGTTTAGTGTAAAAATAATTTTCAAATATAAATATTTTAAATCTAGTTCTTCTGTCCTATTTATATTATAAACTTTCAAGTAACATGAAATTCACGTAAAAATTAAACTGTACCTTGAAAGTTATTTTTGTACTAATGGAGTTGAAGCATTAACCGTTTTAGCGGTGCTCTATCAAATTATAACTACACTTCCGGTTTTAACAGGAAACTTGAGCTTCTGTGAAAGCTTTATAGATACTTGCAGAAAATCATTTTTACTTAGTTAACTAAAACATCTTTATATAGCTAAAGTGCTAAGATCTAATATATCTAGACTTAATTTTCAATATAAATTGAATTTTTTGCTACTATCAATAGCTTACTTCTACTATAATATATGTATTCTATAAAATTAATTATAACGAGTTTCTGTATATAAATAATTTTTTTACAAGTTTCGAAACCACCATGTTGCTTATTGAATATGAAAAATTAATTTATGACATATAAATGCTAAGACGCGTACATATACATACATTATATAGTACTAATGAGTCTAAGTAAAGTTCACTTTGATCGAACACGATATAGTATTGTCTTATTATCTAGAAATAAACCCATATCGCTTGCTTGGTAACATAATAACAATTACTGTAGCGAATCTTTAAGCGGATATATATTTCACGCATCACGCTCTCTCCTATATAAGGAAAACATTAAATGTAGTGATTTTGACTTCGTTCCTTATTTTTTATATCGTAACCTTTAGTGTTACGTAGTACTTAATTTTATCTCAATCAGTTGATATGAAAATACAGAACACATTTTATTTTATATCATTAATTATATTTACCTGTATATACTCGTAACTAGCGACTGACCTTACTTCGTTCGAGTGCGTCCTTTGGTATGGTTTAATTTTTTTGAGCTTTTTGATTTCTAAAATAAAAATAGTCGAAGTTACTCCCTTTAACATCAACTATGTGCCAGTGAAAGTCCCGTGAAAATCGGTCTAGCCGTTTAGGAGATTAGCCGAAAGAAACAGGCAGAGAGACAAATTTTTTAAGAATTGTGTTTTTCTTATATGTACCGTATATACTTTCATATGTATTTAGTAAAAGTTGTTATTTTGACATTACAAACTTTCAAATTTATTTATTATATACATAGATCGTGGAAAACAAATCCGATGTGAATTTGGCTATGACGATAATCATTTCTAGTTATTTCGATATGAATCTTCATGTTACAATAAATCATGGCAATAAAATCTCAAAAAGAGGGTATAAACAAATATACATACAATCTTCGTAATACCATAGTATCATTATATGCTATTTCCGTATTTTGCGAGAAATCTAGGCGTAGCAGTTTCAATAAATGATAAAAAAATATGTAATTTAATGAATAGTAGGCGTATTTTTTAAAATGTTGAAAATAAATACCACAGCCAAATATATTTTTTTTCATTATTTTTTAATTGTATTTTTTATTGCAGATATTTCCCAAAACGACGCTGACAGGAGTGAATCAGAACAACTAGAAGTAACACAAGAACGAGAAAAAAGACAAATTAAGCGAACGTAATTATATAACTATCTCCCTTTCACTACCCGACTGAATTCTTTTAAATGTACCTCAACTTTACCTAAATCAAATGAAATCATTAAACAATCAAAATTAATATTTTAATACCAATCCAATTTCTTTATGGCTTTTAAAATGTATTTTAAATAGGCTATGTTTTAGTTGCAATTTATCATAACACTCTTGACAGCTAGTTTGTTCATTTCCTAATTGTCAATTTTGTGATCGATTACACGTGTTTCGATAAAACATAATGTATATAAAACTTTAGTTTTCCGTTAAAAGATATATATTACGCCCGCCTAATATACATAATATGTTATATATTGTGTAGAGAGTGCAAGAGTCGATAAATTGTTACTTCTATTTGAGAATCATGATGTGTGGGTAAATCCCTCAGATAAAAAACCATATACAAAGCTACACAGAATAGAAAATGATGCAGAAAATGGTATTCAATTTTTATAATAAATGAATATATAAAACTCTATTCCAAACCGAGTACTTATTATAGCTCAAGTGGGTGGAACGTATTTTATGTTCATTTTCATTGTTAAACGCTCTCTCTGTAAGATACACTTTTAAATTCATATTTAAATCTATCATTTGACAAAAAATATATCACTTTTCTATAAAATATACAATGACACATCAAAATAGGATAATGTATAAGAGATTTTCAATTAATTATTATTTTCATTTAAGTTTCATATTTATTATTAATCCCTCCACGACCGCCAACACACCGGCGTTACAGTTAACAATAGATTTCTTAGAAATTAATTCATTTCTTAGAAACTTACCTCGAGGAGTTAACTAGCGGCTCATTCTCGTTTCGTTCGTGTTCGCCTTACGAAAAACGAATCTAAAATATCCCACGGGAACCGCACATTTTTCCAGGGTAAAAAAAGTCCATGTACTATTCCAGACTATAACCTATCTTTGTGCCAAATTTCATCTAGATCCGTTCAGCCGTTCTGGCGTGATTGAGTAATAAACATCCAAACATCCATCTAAACTTTAAATAATATTGGTAAAACTACATGAGCCTACTTAGTCTGTTTTCTAGTTAAATATAACCGAAACTCGATTTATCAATTTATGTACAAATATTTTTTTTAATATTATGTATGTTTATGTATGTATTCTTCAATCGTTAAGTCAATTTACTGTAGATATTATAATTATAAATTGTCTCTTATAATTGGATACCGCCGTTAATCGTAGCATTAAGTACTTAAGTGTTGTTTTAATGTGAGAGTTACTTCTAGGCTGGGTGGATTCAAGAATCCATGGAAGAATTCTCGCATTTCCTATATAATGCTAAAATTTTAATGTTTACTGACTGTTTATAATATACTTAATGATTGAAATAAATTTATGCAACGATACTTAGAATTGTGTTTTATTCGGAAAATGTTTTTACGAAAAATTGTTCATCCCCTCAACACAATCAAATTTCCTAAGTCATTTTGAGTTTGCGTTATATAAGTGCTATTTTGAGAAATAAATCCTAACACTTTTTTTAAGCACATACCGATATTGTTGAGTATTTGTGTCAAAATAAGTTATTAAATGTATGCGTGGCACTACACGAAGTAAGGAAGTAAGTTCTACAGAACTTTCTTTCAAACACATACCTATATCTGTACATATAATAAAATTGTAACTAAGCTGAATCTGTACATTAAATATTTTTTGGAAAATCCTATTGAAATAAATATTATTATCGATACAGAGGCCGAATCTATAGTTTTTAGAATTTTTGTCTGTCTGTCTGTCTGTCTGTTACCGCATCAATAACATCATCAATAACAATGTCATATAAAGGCAATCTAAACAAACTCTTCCGTATGTCATTTCCATATTTTATTTTTGTACTAGCGATATATTTTAATCAGTCTAGTTAATCTAAAAACATAGTGTTACACGCCGCTAGTTTATTCAAAGACATCAAGCGCCTTCGTACAACCTAGTCTGTAGTGTTCGTCTACGCAGGTGCCAGGCAGGCAGGAAAAGTACATATGACGGCGAACATATTTGACGTTTGGGCGAGACGTATGATTTTGCTGTTGTGTGTATAAATTTTATTAATTACTGTCAATATAATGATTATAACAGGAAAATTGTTTCATTGTTGTAAAACAATGAAACAATTTTCCTGTTATAATATGTTAAAATATGTTGTAAAACAGCTTAAGCTTGTCCTATTATATACATATGATGAGCTGGTATAATATAAATACACAAGCAAAGCCGCAGATCGTTGCTATTCATATATAATACGTTTCGGCCACGTACTGAAATCGTCATTTACATTAGACTATCTAAACATTTAGTGACTGTTCACAACTATAGCTAAATCAATCCATGCAAAATTGGAACTCCAAGATGAAATTCCGAGAAGTTCTAACTGTGTTGTATATTGTATTATGGCTACAATTAAATTAACTCGCCCACAGCCGAGTGGTTTTCATTAGAAATAAACTTGCTTATATTACAAACTTTTTTCTTGTCTTGTTTTTGAAGTAAAACTTCTTTAGAATCCATGTGATTTGAAAGTCAATGAATTGAAAATGGGACACTAAAAAGAGAAGCTAAGTCGGCGAGAGAATGAGATAGAATACATTGCCATGTTGCCGTTTGGTAACCGTTGTTATTGTCTGACAAATATATAATATTATATTCTATACGTATATGAATTCTATAAATATAAGAAAGTATTATGTGAAATAATTAGTGTTGTAAAATAATTGTAATATGCCATGCCATTATGTCAAATAAAGTGTAAAACAACTTTTAAACTTGGAAAAAATATTATGTAAATAATAAACCTTCTAATACTCTATATTTATCTCATTCTCTCGTAGGTTACTTTTCTGAAGTTTCAATTCTATCGTGTTTGGATTGCAAACACGCGCACTTTTTTATACTGTGGGCTTAGAAGGACAAAGTATGATCATTCATTGCTTTCCGGCAAGGTATGGTTAGCTAAATTCTAATTTTAATAAGATGTGTGAAAACACCTTTTTCATCATTACAAATTTTGGGCCCACACTTACTTGACCCCGGGACAATCGTCGAAGTTTATACCACTGTAGCACAAATATATTTCCTTAGAACGTTACTAAAATACCTAGTTGCTGGTTTTGTTATCTTGTGTTTAAAAATTGTAGGTTAGTTAGTGATGAATAGTAATATAAAAGTTGTTTTTTAAAGTTTTTTTGTTAGGATTCGTAATATTTGTAATAGAATATAATAATAGAATAATTTGTAATATTAGGACTTGACGTAATTTCTGGACAAAATAACAGAAAATTTACCAAAACCAAAAATATGATTATCCTTTACTATATTTTTTGTAGGTATAGTATCAACAACCTATTACAAAGTAATATAATTTAATCTATACAATTATAATAAAATTCTAATAGGGTCGAATCTATACATTAAAATTTTTTTGGAAAATCTTACTGAAATAGTCATTATTATCGATACAGAGGCCGAACCTATCGTTTTTAGAATTTTTGTCTGTCTGTCTGTGTCTGTGTGCCGCATCACGAGAAAACCACTGGACAGGTTTTGATGAAGTTTGGTATGATAATAGCTGGTTATCCGGGTTAACATACAGGATACTTTTTACTGCGGGAAAATATCTCATCTCTGAGAAATCTATACTAAACGTTAAATAACAAGAAAAAAATTAGTAATAAGAACATTATAATAAATAAATGCTAGTTAAGTATAATAAAAGAACAAATGCACGATCTATTTTTATTGTTACCTTTTTTAATTTGCTTTAAAAGCAGTGCATCATTTTCTCACGTATTTTCCTGCATACACCGACGTGGCGTCAGTGTAAGCGGGTAGATACAGTTAATGATTATAATAACAAAAATAAACAAGTATTGTTTATAAAAGTACTTATTTTTTGCCCTTGTGTACTTCAAGCGCCAATTATATAACCATATGACTAAAATTAATTGGCTACGAAAGTTCGTTTGTTTTTAATATTTTGGGACATTAACACACGACACCCTCTAGTTCCATGGTAAGCTACGAGGCTTGTCTTATGGATACCAGATAGTTGATAAACCACACATATATTCTTTAAATACATACATATTATAAATATACCTACATATTATAAAACACCCATGACTGTAGTACAAACATTCATGCTCATCACACACGCATCACGCTCTAACCCGCGACCGTTGGCACAGCAAATAGGGTCACTACAAACTGAGCCAAACGTGTCGTCTAATATAATCATTAATAGTTATAAATGGGATGATGAGCGAACTATTCGAAGCGATCGGACATGTGTAGCCGTGTTAAACTTAGGGCCACTCTGGGCAAAGTTCGGAGGGTGGGAAAAAATATCTCTTCGCTTATCGATATATTATTTGTATTAATGAGTGATTTAAAAAAAATAACTAGCACATTTTTCGAAAAAACGATATCATTTATAAATTTTTGTTTTTCATTTTCCAAAAGATTAATAAAAAATTAATAATAATAAACTTTATCGAAACCCATACCCATTTTTACGCATTTTATGCAAAATTTCGACAATTGGGCGTGCTACCTTACTTTGCACAATTTTTAAAAGCTCCAGGCAATCTTTGTACGCTTACCCGTCGAGCAGACTATTTCATTTATAGTCAGGTGTCTATGTCGTTTTAAAATAAAAATTGTTTAGTCGTTATAGAATTCCTTTTATAGAAAAAAATGTCATTACCACTTTCTACATAGACAAATATATAGTATAAATTAACTAGGATAAAATGGTTTATAAACAAAATGTAGGTACTAATATATCTATACATATAATAAAATTGTAACTAAGTCGAATCTGTACATTAAATATTTTTTGGAAAATCTAATTGAAATAGACATTATTATCGATACAGAGTCCGAATCTATAGTTTTTAGAATTTTTGTCTGTCTGTCTGTCTGTTACCGCATCACGAGAAAACCACTAGACAGATTTTGATGAAATTTGGTATGATGATAGCTGGTTATCCGGGTCAACATATAGGATACTTTTTACCGCGGAAAAATATCTCATTTCTGAGAAAAAATACAAAAACTGCATTGTAAGAGTATACTAATATGTAAAACCTAAGAATTTGGTTTTTGGTCATCTGAACGCGGGCGGAGCCGCGGGCAATGCTAGTCTAAAATAAAAAAGCAAACGTATGAACAAAAACGAGACAAATAATTGCATTGAATTATTAGATATTAATTAAATAAGCCAATCTCTATCATGAATTTACATCAAGTTCTAAATAAACTTATCAAAAAAAAAATTATAAATAAAAAAAACCGACTGCGTTAAAAGCGAACTAAAAAGATAAAAACAAGTTGACGAAAAAACATAATATTATACACTCTCCAATTTATAGTACAGTAACAGTATCTTGTGAGCTTCTCCAGGTCCATTAGCGTACAAAATTTTATCCAAATCCATCCAGCTATTTCATCGTAAAAGAGAAACAAACATACATACGCATAAAAACACACATTTATAATAGTGGTTATAATCATTTAATTAATCATTGTTTCTATAATTCTCGTTCACAATAACGCCACACCCAATGCTTAATTAAATAGATAAAATGCAAACATAGGGCCGTGTGCGCGGACCCCTAAAAGGGCTTTCCCGACCGCGATGCTGTTAGCACTTTTTAGGGTTCTACCTATAGACCTAGTTCAAACAGATTATCCTGATACTTTGTTTACAATTTACATTGTAAAGTTTAAATTCCGATATTTCATATAAAATATTATATTAGTGTGTAAATATTTGAATAATTTGCGTTCAATGATTTTTGATACCTACTATTATAGTAGCTATGGAAAATTATCGTTTTATTTCCTGTAGGCGTAGTCACACCTATACGTGACGTCACACCTATACTTTACATTATATGAAGAAAAAATTTACTAACACAACCCACAGGTAACCGTCAATATTCCCAACTAATAAGAGAAATAGCGACCGATCAATATGAGCTCACCTCAAACTGTCATCTGAATAAAAAGCAAACTTCGTATCATTACGGCAAATTAGTTTATTTTTAAACGTTACAAGCAATTTTCCTAATATAAAAGTGTAATGACGCAATTTAGTTATAGACGGTAAAAATATAGGGAGACAGCTAAGGCTATGAAGAGAACAGCTATCCCTGAAGGGTCGGGAGTATCTCCACTGTTGCAAAGGTCATTGAAACACTGGCACACTGTGCCTAGGTGGTCACTATTGTCATCCTTATAACAGTCCGCCTTCTCACTCCGCACCCATCCGCAGCCACGTGTCACCCTTACTTCAGATTCTCGATGAGGATGAAAGACTGAAATGTTAAAATGGAATATAAAAAATGAATTTTATAGACTATTAATATATAGGTACGTATATGTACAATCATGAACGAATTGTGGTTAATTCGTTCATGTGTACAATGTACATATAATATTATTTATGAGGATAGAGGAGATAAGTTCGTTTTTTGAAGTTATACATATTATTTTTCACGTTTGGAAAAAAATATGTGAGTGCGCACACCGACAGCCAAAAAGTGACATGATGGAGTTAGCTGCATTCTTTTTACAAACACAGAGTGACGTACGGGATGAAATCTTTAGCTATTTTTTTTCTGTTACGCCAAAGAAGTATAACTTCTTACGTGCCTACATAAGTACACACACTTTTTTTTCTTTTGTTTTATTTTGTTGTCAGCGAGCAAAGGAATACCTACATAATATTCTTTCGGTTAACAAATATTACTAAGTATATTATATATTTATAATTCGGTCCCATTAGGTACTGGGGCGATTGCATGTGCCACCCCTGAATGTCAAGTGGATTAGGTCATAGTATAATTCTTGATAAACTAAAACTACGTAGACAAGTATTTTTTTTATTGCAGTAAGATGTTGGTTTTCTTACAAGCTAATAAGAATTTATTTAAGTTAGTTTTAGATAATGATTAAAAATTCTGTCTGCAAGTTTACATACAACTATGAATAAATAAAAAATACACAAATTTTACTTACTGGTCTGCACAATCTTTCTGCAGAAGAAATTGTAAGAAATGGCATTAGGGATGGCGGTATTGCAGTCCACTATCGGTACGATGCGCGAGCGCACTTCCTCATCGTATATATTGACGTCCAAACACGCTGTGTTATTAGCACTATTACAGTAGTAGCAATTTATGCTTGTGGCTAGAAAGACAAAAACATACGGTTAACATAAATAAACAGTATGCCGTGTTATGTCGACGGTGACAAAACTGATGGAAAAAAAAACACCAACTTTTAGAAAGCATGTAAGCTTTGAATGCTAATATGTACTATATATACTTTTGTAACTGCCTCGGTGGTGTAGTGGCTAGCATGTACGGCTGCACACCCGGAGGTCCTGGGTTCGAGTCCCGGGTCGGGCCAAGTTTAGTTATTGAGTCTTCCTGTATAGTAAGTCTCAGTAACAGCCCGGAGTAGGGAAGTTGGCGGTGTTTCACCCCCGTGCCTCGGAGAGCACGTAAAGCCGTCGGTCCTGCGCCTTAACTCTCACCGGTCGTGTCGAGTGGTCGTCCCACCGGAGTATGAGAGTGATAGGAATAGAGAGTGCACTTGTGTCTGCGCGTACACTTGAGCACTGTAATATCTCCTGCGCAGTTGGCTAATCTCATTGAGATTGGCCGCCGTGGCCGGAATCGGCTAGGAGAACATCATCATCATATACTTTTGTACATTATAATTTTGATATATTTGATTTTATAGAATTTTGGAGTCACTTCAAGAGAAGTGTCAGGAAAAAAATATTCCAAAGTGGATATACATTAACAATAATACTAATATTTAAATCTGCACATATAATAAAATTCTAACCGAGTCGAATCTGTACATTAAATATTTTATGAAAAATCTTATTGAAAAAGTCTTTTTCATCGCTACAGAGGCCAAATCTATAGTTTTTAGAATTTTTGTCTGTCTGTCTGGGAACACATACCTATACGAGAAAACTATTGGACACGTTTTGATGAAATGTGGGATGATGATGGCTGGTTATCCGGGTCAACATATAATATACTTTTTACCGTAGAAAAATATTTCATCTCTGAAAAATCTATCTAACCCTTAAAACGTATCTAGGAACGAACCCGAGTGGAGCGAGGGTGAGTCGCTAGTGTAATAACAATAACCTAAATTAATACTTACATTTGTATACCATTGATAAGAATATCACCAGGGAATAGATTATTTTATTAGAGGATGCCATATCTGAAAGAGTTTTACGCAAAAAAGTATTGCATAACATTATTTCAAGAAGTATCACATAATTATAGTTATTTACACTTCTTATGCACAATTACGTACCTGCCAAGAATGTTTTATAATTAAAATATATAAAATAGTATAAAAAACAACAACAAATTAAACCAACTCAGACACAATTACCAAAACATATCACTTTACTTCTAGCTTTATCCATAACTTAATTTTTATTTTTGTTGTGAATTCATTGAATTTAGTTATATATAAGTGAAATGCTAAAATATAATAATTTAATAATATCAAAATGATGATGCAATATAATTATTTTGACTTATTTTTTAATATTGTTAGTAATTTTATGTAAATGTTACCTATAATTTGATTATTAGGACAAGAACACTGGACATTAGGCGCAATTTGTAACTACTGGTCAGTTGTACATAAATGATATCGCGAGTGATGCTATTAGAATATACTACGACCAAGAAATTTTGATACTTGATAATAATATTTTATGTTTATTTTTTGTTATTGAATATTTTTAAAATATTTTAGGTCTGCATTAAATATACTACTTGTGCTATTACCCAGTTAATAAAAAGGGGAGTTTTCTATTTTAACTTTTTAACATAATGTGTAACTTTTTTATATTTCCTGGCAATACACAATTAATATGAAGATAATATGTAGATGCTAACTTAATGCACAACATTAAAAATAATATTCAATGTTCATAATCAATAGGAGAAACATTTCATGTTTTATTTAATAAGATGTGATTATATTTTCAATTTAATAAATTAAAAATTACGACGAAAAAAAAAACACGACATGTAATTCGCCATTTTGTGGTGACGGCTCTCTTGGATTTGAAATTAATCTTAGTGTGTAGTATTTTACTAGTCAAGCCATACCATATTGATTACCATATTGATACCCATATTGAGTGAGTTGTGAAAAAATATGTAATTCGCTATTTTGTGGCGGCAGCCATCTTGGACTGATCTTCATCAAACATAGCTAAGAATAATTCCGACTAATTCACCTTTCAAACAGAACAAAACAAACCAAAATCGGTTCATCCGTTCGGGAGCTACGAAGCCACACACAGACATACACACAGACACGTCATACTTATAAGTCGTTTTTGCGTCGGGGGTTAAAAATTATCATCTATAAAATTACAGATATGAAATTACCTCCATAGATGTCTCATACGTTTTTGCTCTTAAGCCGAGCAGATATTGATAAAATTTGGCAACTATATAGATGGCATCATGGGAACCCTTCACTCCCATCCGCTTATTATGCGAGCAAAGTCACGGTAAAAGTTTGGTCTATTTATAAAAAGAACAAGAAACTGAAGACTCAAGAACTCTGTATTTAGTTATCCAAATTCTTATCGTGTGTTTATGACCTATTATAACATCAGCGAATGTATATGTATATACATATATGATTGTATCGATACATAATTTGTTATACGTATAATTTACATAGCTTATTAGTATTACAAGTGTAAACAAATAGATAATAGCTCATATAAAAGCTTTATTTTCTTCTGACATAATTTGTCTTTATAGATAGTGAGTTTTTTATGTAAGTTGTCCCGACAGCAAGTAAAAACTAAAAAAAAAAGATGAAATTGATTGCTTATATTTATTAATATTAAAAATGTTTAAATATGTCTGTGTGTTTGTTTGCTATTTCATCACAACATATTAATTGAAATGGTCCCTATGAAAATTGCGTAAACGGTAAAAAAAGGAATGTTTGTTAGTATATAAAAGTAGAAAAGCATGATTATAGTTAAATCATTGCTTGAATCATAAACGTCGATAGTTAAAGAATCGATTTAGAATATTTTATATTTCAAAAAATCAATTATATGTATCACGAAATGTTATAAACCAAATTATTGTATGCGCACGCAAAAACCTAAGAGTCTGTGTCACATCATTTTGACTTGACAGTGACAACTGACATTCGCTTATCTATGCGCCGGCGATCCCGGCTGTCGTCCCTTGCCGTTTGACCTTTTGAAAATATACGCCGCGTGTTTGATTCATCTCGGGAATTTTGCCCCTTTTTTGTGATGGTTTTGTGTGCGGCATATCTAAGATTGGATTGTTGAATAAGACGTGTAAATAACATGTTGATAATTGTAATTTTGTTGAGCACGGGCCCGGTTTGAGTGTATAACTGCATCGCCCACGTGCCGACGTAAAACTTGTTAAATAAGAATCAATTGACTTTATTTTGTACTTATATGAAAGTGAACTGACAATTCAGTGTAAACTTGTGCGTATTTGAGTGCCTACGCCGTATGTCGGTCTTCTAGGCGCATCCTGGAGCATCTTCATCCTGCCACTTCAGTTGAGTATAATCAGTTAGCATTAGACGTTATGATTGGCCAATTGTAGTTTAATGGTAATTAGATTTATACCTAAGGCAGCATTATCGAAGAAGAAGAACGCAAGGTACCTTTTTATTTGATATATATAAGCGCTGTGTATCGCAGTCATATGTTCGTCCCCTTTGAACCTGGAGACATTTCACGCTTCCACTCATCACTCTGGTAAAACCCCAGGTCGGATGTAACATCTTTTGGTAGCAGAGCGTGGTTTGGTTATAGATATTAAATGTATTGTATACGCTCGCTACTTTGTGTAAAATTAATTACAAGTTATTGTTACTGAACTACTTAAGATTTCCATTTTATATGAAACAATTCATACTCTTTAAATGTGTATGTAGATATTGTAAAAGCTCAAACATAAAGTTTATTATTAAACTTATATAATTGTTTGTATTAATGATTTTAAAGTTAACTTGTTGATAAAATACTTTAATTTGATTCATACATATATGCAGTATTTGGGTTACTTAAAGTAAATTTAGTAATTTGTTACTTTAAACATAGTTTATAAATTGTTCAGTATATTAATAATTAAACTTTAAAAGTTTAGTATTGTTTTTTTTTGTTGTACTTGTTGTTGCTCAGTTTATTATAAAATATAATAACTTTATAATAAAAATATAAATAAACTATACTTAAAATAAATATAAATATAAGTAATTTAGATCATAATTTGTTTGAACATTTGCCTCAAGGATTTGTTTTATGTTTTTTTTTGTACTCCTATTTAGGTATATTTTTGAGATTTGATATTTATTTAAATTGATAACACTATTATCTCATTTGAAAGTTATAACCTTTTTGTTGTTGTTATTACAATATTATTTTGTTTGCTTGTGTCCTTTGTGTTTTTGAAGATGGCTGCCGCCGCATTCACTATTGTCCGTGACTCATATTCCGGGATTGTGGCTCACCTGAGATGGTTCACTTCCGCTGCCGCATTGGTGAATAGGGAGGATCGTACAGAGGCATTGTTGGATAGGCATGAGAAATGCCCTACACGACTCAAGGAGGTGGAGGAACATTATCAGCGCTTCATCTCACATCTGGATGATGTACCTCTGGAGTCATTCCCAGAGCATCGGCGGGAACAAGTCCATGAGGACTACACCCAGATTATGAACCTGGCCGACGACATCGCCCAACGCGCGCGAGAGGTTCTAGCCTCGCGCGCCGGAGTACCGCCTCACAGCGCTCCCTTGAAAACTCCCGTGGGCCTTTTGACTAAACTACCCAATTTGGATCTTCCACGTTTTGATGGTCGGTTAGACACGTGGCTGGGATTCATTGGCTTGTTCGAGAGCCTTGTAGATTCCAGGGACGATTTGGGCCCGTCTCAAAAGTTGGCCTATCTACTCTCTGTGCTTGATGGAGAGGCGAGGGGCTTAGTGCAGCACCTCCCCATACGTGACGGGAGCTATGAAGTCGCGCGATCATTGCTCACCAAGCGCTACCACAATGAGCGCTGCCTGGCCGATGCCCATATCGACCAGATTATGGACCTTCCCGTCGTGAGCAATACCGCCCAGTTGAGGACCGAGCTGCTCAACCCCCTCCTAATAGCCACTAACTCTCTCCACCGCTTGGGACTGCCGGTTGCCCAGTGGTCTTATTTACTGGTGCGTATCGTACTTAAGCGGCTGCCGGTGTCCTTGAGGGCACGCTTTGAACAGGGGCACGCTAGGGATGAGGCTTCTCCTCTCCCTACTTTTGAACAGCTCCTGACCTTCCTGGAGGACGAGTGTCGCATGGGTGACGTTATGGTCGCCTCTACACCGGTGGGAGCATCAAGTCCCAGACCCACCAACCAACGTCGCACTGCTCAAACTGCGCCAAGGGGAAAAATGACTTCCCGCTTTGCTGTCGCTCAGGCCGCACGACCGGACTGCCGATTTTGTAAGTCCCAGGGGCACAAAACGGCGAAGTGCCCGGAATTTGCAGCGCTGCATGTGGCCGCTCGTAGGCGGATTGCTCAGGCCCGAGGCTGGTGTTTCTCATGCCTAGGGGACCATTATCAGCGCGCCTGCCCCGACACGCACCCGTGTCCTGTTTGCAGAGGGCAGCACTTGAAACTGCTGTGTGCCAACGCGAATGGCCGCCGCGACCACGCGGGGTCGCCTACGGGCGGGTATGTGAGCGGACGCCGGGACCAGTCCCGCAGTTTTGAGTCCGGCTCATCCCCCACACGCCGCGCAGATTGCGCTGCCGTTGATCGCCGACATGGTTCGGTGCGCAGCCCCACGGGCGGGTATGTGAGCGGACGCCGGGACCAGTCCCGCAGTTTTGAGTCCGGCTCACCCCCCCCTCGCTGCGCAGATTGTGTTGCCGTTGACCGCCGACATGGTTCGGCGTGCAGCCCCACGGGCGGGCATGTGAGTGGACGCCGGGACCAGTCCCGCAGTTTGGAGTCCCGCTCGCCCCCCTTGCCCTCGCGTGACCAATCAAGGTCACCTCAGGTCGTGTACCACGATTACTGTGATGCAAGTCCGGTACGACTGCCATCCCCCCCTCTGGCGGAGCGTCCCCGTTTGGAGTCGCGCAACCCTCGATACGGACGCTCCAGGGGCTATAAACCACCGACTATGGCTCGTGGCAGTCGTCACCGAGGGGAAGCAGAGTTCAAACCCTTCCCTCATTCTGACGCGCCGTCCCGGCACTGCGGCGTTCGATCGCCGCCACGCAAACATTAGGATGTCGGCGTCTGCCCCCGCTATGCACCGCCCCCTTTTGAGACCGTTCTCTTGCCCTCGGCCTATGTCAGGGTCTGGGGACGGACGGGTGCCTCGGTTGTAGTCCGAGCGATATTGGACACAGGCTCACAAGGTTGCATAGCCTCGTCTTGGTTGGTAGGGCAGACTGGCCAGACTATTAAAAAGTATTCAGATGTAATCAGAGGTGTCGGGAACGCCCCTGTGGCCACGGTTAAGGGCCGCGTTTGGCTTGAATTCTCCCCCTCAAATTCTCCACGCCCGACGTTGGGATCGTCCGCCATTGTGATGGAGAATATCCTGGGCAGCCACCCGCAAGTTCGATTGTCTGCGGATGCGGTAAAATTGACCGCTGGTTTGAACTTGGCTGACCCTAAATTTGACCTACCTGGCACGGTAGATTTGTTGCTTGGTGCTGATGTTCTGGGCAAAATATTACTTGGTAAGGATCGTGTTTTGCAGCCAGGTGGCCTAGTGGCCCTCCGGACCATTTTTGGGTTCGCATTGATGGGGCCTGTATTGAGGGCTCCCCCCCCTGCCGAACTTGGAACGGCCTTAATGGTGGGCTCCGCCCTTTCTGACGCCGTGCAGAGATTTTGGGAAGTGGAAGAGCCACCACAAGCGCCACGCTCTGATCCGGAAGATGAGGATTGTGAACGGTTCTATAATAATAACACCACTTACCTCCGTTCTGGCCGGATCATGACAAGATTGCCATTTCTCACCGTACGTCCGCCCCTTGGTGACTCGCGGCTTACTGCAGAGAAGCGTTTGCTGGCAATGGAGCGCCGCATGAGCAGGGACCCGCTACTCAAGGAGAAATATATTGACTTCATGCGGGAGTATGAGGATTTGGGACCCATGTCCGTGTCAAAGGTTGACTGGAGCTCTACGGAGCATTTTTTCCTCCCGCATCATGCGGTAATAAAGCCATCAAGTGGCAAGCTGCGCACAGTATTTGATGGTTCTGCGCAGACCACATCGGGAGTGTCCTTGAACCAGTGTCTTCATTCTGGTCCCAAATTGCTTAAGGACCTTTGTGACGTCATCACGCGGTTTCGGCGTCATCAATTCGTTTTTGTGACTGACATCAAGATGATGTTCAGGCAAACGGTAATTCACCCTGATGATCGACGATATCAGTTGATATTGTGGCGGGAAAACCCGAAAGATCCCATGCTTGTTTACGAGCTCAACACGAACACATACGGGCTACGGTCTAGCCCCTTTTTGGCCATCCGCTCGCTTTGGGAGCTCGCGGATCGAGAGCGTATGTCGTTTCCTCGCGCAGCCGCCATTTTGAAGGAGGACCTGTATGTTGATGACATATGCACTGGCGCGTCCACGGAGAGAGAGGCTCTCCTTTTGCGTGACGAGTTGATTGGAATACTAGCCTCCGCAGGATATGAGTTGCGTAAATGGATCTCCAACTTGCCTGCGCTCTTGGATGGGCTACCGGATGACCACCAGCAAGATCCTCACCTCTTTGAGAATCGTGACAACCCTGCCATGATGACAGTACTTGGAATCCAGTACAGACCAGTCCAGGACATCTTCACATTTAACGTGGACTTGGATTCGCCTCATATTTGGACGAAACGACTGGTTCTGTCGACTGTCGCGAGAACGTTTGATCCCAATGGCTGGATATGCCCGGTCATATTCTGGGCCAAATGCTTCCTGCAGAGACTTTGGACTGCAGGTCTCGGATGGGACGAGCCACTCCGAGAAGCTATTTTGGAGGACTGGCTCCTATTTGCTTCCTCATTGCCTGCCATCAATAGGATATCGCTACCCCGTGCTATGCTTCCTCCAGGGAAGTATACAGCGTCCCTTCATGGGTTTTCGGACGCTTCGGAACGAGGGTACGCAGCAGCCGTATATTTGCGCACCGTGACCATAGATGGTCAGGTGAAGGTGTCGTTAGTCATGGCAAAGAGCAAGGTCGCCCCTCTTCGAACTGCGTTGACAATTCCTAAGTTAGAATTGTCGGGAGCGGCCCTTCTTGCTCGCCTCTTGAACCATGTCATGTCTACCTTGCGCCCGTCAGTTAACATTACCACAGTCTATGCATGGACTGACAGTCAAATTGTTCTGTGTTGGCTGAAGACGTCGGTCCACACCTTAGAGGTGTTTGTAGCAAATCGTGTCTCTCAGATCCAGAAATCGGAGACCCCGTTGATTTGGAGGCATGTGCCTGGTGAAGTCAACCCTGCTGATTGTGCGTCACGGGGATGCATGGCCCCTTTGTTGGTTGAGCACTCTTTGTGGTGGGGACCTGATTGGTTGACTAGGTCAGAACCTAATTGGCCACAAACACCGGCCTTGGATGATGTCGCGTTGCCTGGGCTGCGAACGCTTGCGATTGAACGGCAGGACCGTCCGTTCGACCCAGATTTTTTAATGAATCGCTACAGCTCATTGGATAAATTGCTGAGTGTCACCGCTTGGATCAAGCGCTTCATCAGAAATTGTAGACACCCACGGGACAAACGTTTGGAGGCGTTCTTATCGCCGCGAGAGCTCCAGGATGCTCTTCTTCATTGGGTTCGTTCTGTACAAGAAGCACACTTTGAGAACGAGATTGACATCTTGAGGAGGGGCAAATCCAAGTTGTCTGGAGCCATTTGTAAACTGAACCCCTTCTTGGACAGTGAGGGTCTTTTACGTGTCGGAGGGCGTCTTAGGAACGCAAACCTCCCTTATGGAGCTCGTCACCCCCTCCTGTTGCCCAAAAGTGGCCATTTGGTGAATTTGTTGGTGACTGATCGTCACATCAAGAACTCCCACGCCGGCTGTAATGCCTTATTGGCCATTTTACAGCGAGAATTTTGGATTTTATCGGCCCGACGGACGATCCGTAGCGTGGTCTTTCGCTGCATGCCTTGCTATAGGCTCAAGGCCTCTACCATGCAGCCTATCATGGGTGACCTGCCCTCAGATCGGGTCACTGAGATAAGACCCTTTGCTGGAGTTGGTACGGACTTTGCAGGTCCCTTTTCAGTTAAGACTTCGACCCTCAGGAACAGTAAAACGGTCAAGGCTTACCTGTGCGTTTTTGTCTGTCTATCCACCAAGGCGGTACATTTGGAACTCGTCTCAGCCCTCTCGACAGAGGCCTTTGTTGCAACGTTAGATAGATTCGTGTCACGACGAGGACTACCATCCTTGATTCGGTCGGATTGCGGCACCAACTTCAAGGGCACAAACAACTATTTAAAAGAGATATGTGATTTTTTGGAGTCTAACAAGACTGAAATTGCTTCTAGACTAGCTAGTCGCAGAATAACTTGGAAGTTCAGTCCCGCGTCATGTCCCCACTGGGGAGGAATATTTGAAAGCGTGGTAAAGGTTGCCAAGACACATTTGCGACGAGTAATTGGTGAGTCTGTTTTGACATTTGAAGAGCTCGCAACTGTGTTTTGCAAAATTGAAGCCGTTTTGAATTCACGCCCGTTATGCCCGATCTCTTCAGACCCTAACGATTTGGAAGCCCTCACACCGGGCCATTTTTTGATTGGACAGCCATTGAACGCCCTGCCGGAATACCCTTTTGTTGATGTGAAACCCAATCGTCTCTCGCGGTTTGAATTGGTCCAACAACTCACTCAGAGTTTTTGGAAGCGTTGGAATTTAGAATACTTGCACATTCTCCAGCAGCGCGTTAAGTGGACTGAAAAGACTGATCCACCTCATGTTGGTGACCTCGTTCTGGTTAAGGACGCTAACTCACCGCCACTGTGTTGGCGCAGAGGGCGCATTCTTAACCTTGTCTTTGGAGCAGATGGAGTGCCCCGTTTTGCTGAGGTCCGTGTGGACGGTTCTCTTCTGAAGAGAGCGGTATCAACCTTGTCACGACTGCCAGTAAATTAGCGGCCAGGTAGTCCTGGCCGAGGCGGGTAGATGTTATAAACCAAATTATTGTATGCGCACGCAAAAACCTAAGAGTCTGTGTCACATCATTTTGACTTGACAGTGACAACTGACATTCGCTTATCTATGCGCCGGCGATCCCGGCTGTCGTCCCTTGCCGTTTGACCTTTTGAAAATATACGCCGCGTGTTTGATTCATCTCGGGAATTTTGCCCCTTTTTTGTGATGGTTTTGTGTGCGGCATATCTAAGATTGGATTGTTGAATAAGACGTGTAAATAACATGTTGATAATTGTAATTTTGTTGAGCACGGGCCCGGTTTGAGTGTATAACTGCATCGCCCACGTGCCGACGTAAAACTTGTTAAATAAGAATCAATTGACTTTATTTTGTACTTATATGAAAGTGAACTGACAATTCAGTGTAAACTTGTGCGTATTTGAGTGCCTACGCCGTATGTCGGTCTTCTAGGCGCATCCTGGAGCATCTTCATCCTGCCACTTCAGTTGAGTATAATCAGTTAGCATTAGACGTTATGATTGGCCAATTGTAGTTTAATGGTAATTAGATTTATACCTAAGGCAGCATTATCGAAGAAGAAGAACGCAAGGTACCTTTTTATTTGATATATATAAGCGCTGTGTATCGCAGTCATATGTTCGTCCCCTTTGAACCTGGAGACATTTCACGCTTCCACTCATCACTCTGGTAAAACCCCAGGTCGGATGTAACATCTTTTGGTAGCAGAGCGTAGTAGTAAAACCCCAGGTCGGATGTAACACGAAATACAAAATAACATATTAAGTTTCATTGGGAGGCTATTAAAAGGTGTTTCATTTAACATGTTTAATTTTTCTTTGTTTTATAAATACATCACTAGCAGAGTCACATTTTTATTAATCCTTACCACAGATCATATAATACTGTATTAGTACTTACCTATATTACAAATACTAAAGTGTTTGTCGGATTGTTGTTTCTTTTGCGTCAATGAAACAAAGAATCGACGTGATTTTTAAACAGTTAATTATAGCATAGTGGAAAATACTTTTTAATCACGGTTTCTATAGGACATTAGTATATTAGGTATATTAATATACAAAGTTTGTGGTGTATTTATACCTATATGAAAAGAGCGAGTGCTAATAGGGTGTAAAATAAAACTATTACAAATAAATAAATAAAAAATATCCCTTAAGATTCTTTGATAATATCTATATCTTTTATTTAGGTTATTAGATGTTCACTATTATATCTTCTGTGCAGATGGCTAGTCTCAATGAGATTGGCCGCCGTGGCCGTAATCGTTATTATTGTTTTATGAAAATACAACTACATAGCACTATAGCATATGCTCTTAAATATGCTACGATCTAGAGGAAATAATCCTTCGTTCCTGCAATATGATCGCTGCTATTTCATACGGCTTCAGGACTTTGTACAAAACTTGCAAATTTTGATACTTTAGCTAAGTCATAAACTATAGTAGATTATAAATTGTAGAACAAAGTATTTTAATAAGAAAACACCCTCACTGTACAGTGCTACCGTTTAATTTACACCAGGTATTTCAGAGGTTACGGATTCGATTCCCAATGTATCATAATCCTTATGGAACTATGTCTAACTCTAGGTATATGATCATTGGTCATACAACATATTACATACAAACAAATTTTTGCATGTATAAACTATAATAGTGATGTGATTGGAAATGGAAATGTGTGTTTATCTTTCTTTTGCACTGCAACGAAAAATTCTGCCCACTGTCTCGCACCTTCGCGTGTCGTGGGATTTTGTATTCTAATTATTAAATTTAAATGTAGCTTCTTTACTATATCTCTCACACTTACAATAAAGTCAATATCGAACATTTTTGTGTAAAGCTTATTACACCTTCGCGGTAACGGCTCAAGAAAATTGACTAAATTTTGGAATGGAAATTGGAAATAGCTTAAGTTTGTATCACAACATAGCTTATACCACGCGTATAATTATGCACCTACACAGATAAAAGTGAAGCGAAAACAAATGAGTACACATACCGAGGGCTTTACGAGTTTTATGTGGTAAATATTTGTGGTGTTATACATTACGGCATTATTGGTGTTATACGACTAAGAACTTCTTAACAAAAACTCTGTAACCATTTTGTTAGAGATAAAACGTGATAACGGAACTCGAACCTACGACCTCCAAATTTTTACCTCTACATATCAGCCAGGAGAATGTTACGTGAACCTAAGCATACTAAGCAACCAAACTTCATCGCTAGCTTTGTTCACAGCGTCAATAGGACATTAAAATACACATAAAAGTTATAATAAAAGTTTATCGAACTGTTTCAGTAGTTCCAGAGATTATTACGTACATACAAACATACCATTGTTATAGTAGCGTTAAATTATACGGAACATACGCCGAGTGTTACTTTTACCAAACCGGGGTGAACATGGCTACAAAAAATTACCATTCAAATATCAAACCTGCGACCTACAATGCAATATGCAATGCCAGTCACTATAACGAGCTTTTAAGTTAATTTAAAAAAAGTTCATATCTAACAGTCCCTATGGTCTAGTTTCTGTAGAATAATCACATTTCTAGGTCATTAAATGTGCTCGAAGACGTGCTTGTACATTAATTAGTGTTTAATAAATAACACCATACCAACTAACAACAATACTTTTAAGTGCATTCCACAAATGTAAAGTTAATTGTGCTTATGTATTATAGTTAGTTACCTTGACTATGCTTGTGAAAAAATGTGTTCACCTCAAACTATTTACTTATTTAAAAAAAAAATTGTTTTTCAACAAATTTAAAATAACTGTCAGTTTGTAAAAATACTGTAAAGATCAGCGTTTGTTTTGTGTAGTGTAAAACATTCTAGCGAATTACCTTCTCTTCGCTCAAGTGTGGTCCTAGATGTTCAATACGTGTTATTCCATATCATAATCTATTGGTGTACTAAATTTCATTAAAATCCCTCCAGCTATTTTCGCGTGACACACATACGTACAAAATTTCTCATTTTAAAATATTAGTCCGATATACAGGCAGCATCAAATGTTATTACTTACAGTATTACAGTACAGTATGTGTCACTCCAAGTCACAATCAATCTGTGTACTAAATTACATCAAAACCCATTCAGCCGTTACAGCATGAAGAAGTAATAAACATACACACAAGCATGAGAACTGTTACATTTATGGGAATAATAGTAGTAGGGTAGTCATGTAAAGTATCCATATTACTAATATTATAAATGTGAAAGTGTGTTTGCTTGTTTGTTCATCTTTCACGTCAAAACAGAGGGATGGATTAGCGTGATTTTTTGTGTGGAGATAGTTGAAGGGCTGGAGAGTGACATAGGCTACTTTTTACCGCGGAATATTATCTCATTCCCACGGGAAAACGCATTTTAATACAACCCAAAAAAAAATCTTTTGATCAGAATTACTTGAAACTTGGTATTAAAGCTAATTAAATATAAAGCTCTTTAATACAATTAAATAAATAAGTGTTTTAGCATTTTTCGGGTTTCATCCCATAAGGGGGTAAATCCCACCTTTTCAGAGTTTTTTTGTGGGCTAAGCGCGAGTGAAGCCGCGGGCCTGCTAGTTTACTGTATTTATAATCATACAACTTGAAGTAATATCCGGATATTTTTTAAAGAAACAATTCAAAGCTTTAATTAAATTAAAAGGTTAAAAAAGCTTAAGCTCACAAATTGTCTATTGTAATTGTATTGCAGTCGTTATTACTATTGCATTGAGTGCTGGGTATTTAGTTACAAAGCTCTAGCACACAGTGTTATACGCGTCGAAATAACTAACAAGAATAAGTATAAGGCATCGGAATACCAAAATGGCCAAAGTGAGAAGTAAAAACAAACTTCATTTCAATGGGAAAAGTAAAGAATATATTACCAACCAATATTTTCGTGATTTTTATTTGAAAGATTTCAAATATATCAGCCCAGAAGTTTTGGGAGATAGAAAAAATATCAATAACTCATTAAGATCTAAAGGTTGTACATTGTTCGTGAAGTTGTGGTTAACAGAAGTATTGAAGGGATTCAAACAATTCCTTTACGAAGGCTCCTTGCACGGTGTGAAGTAAGTTAGATTAATTAAAACTAACCGAGCGTTAACGTTCATGCGTGATATGTTAAATTTGGTAGAATCGTTTGATTTATGTAATCTAAATAAATTAATAATTTTTGCCTAATTTCCATAGGCTGTATTCGATGTTTTACCTGATAGCCAAACTAGTACTCGGAAGGTCCAGTGGTTTCTACTTAGTTTATACAAGTAATTTCGACCTTTGATGACTTATTAAGGAAATAAATATTCGACTCTCGTGACAATTGCTAAACATATCTATATTACTTTTAAGAATCTCTGGCCTAATAATGAATTAACCTGATTGATATAAATAAAAGCATTCGGCACCCTCAATTATATCAAAGTTCATCCTCGGGATATAAATGAGCAAAAAAACAAAAATTCTATAACTACCATAATTGCTTCTTTATTATCACTATCTTTATGGGGCTTAAAAATTGTAACTTTACGTCGACCTCCATTTTCAACCGACTTCCTCAAAAAGGAGGAGGTTCTCAATTCGGCTGTATTAACTTTTTGTTTGTTACCTCAGAACTCCGTCATTTATTAACCGATTTGGACAATTTTTGTTTTGTTTGAAAGGGTATACTTTCAGATTAGTCCCATTTAAATTTCAAAAAAAATAACACCCCTAAGGGTGGAAAAACAGCTAATGATGAATTTAACCTACTCCTAATTGTCATATTGACTTGAAACTATGCAATTGTTTCTATTTCCGTTGATAGTACAAAGCAAAGCACACCGACTTCGAAAATATTTGATTAGGTGTGTATAGTAAATGAAACCTAGCAATCAGTTATTTTTTACTTTTTAGTACTTTTGTTTGAAGTCGGTTTTTATTTTTTTGTTAAAAAGTTTTTATTAAGGTATTACGCGTTAGATGAAAATATATGTATAATACGCAAATAGATACTTTCCTTTTATGGTAATTAAATTGCATAGAGGAAGATACCTGCAGATAATCAATGCAATTCAAATTGAAATCGTACTACATTGTCTGTCAACGGTCAGTAATATTACATATTCCAGATATATTTTCGAACCAACCTTCAGCCATAAAGAACGAATTACCTGGATAATCATCGTGGTGATCAGTATTAGTATTTGCGCAATGAACATCATCCAGCTCGTCTGCAAATGGACTTCAACGCCCTTCGTCAACGTCATCGACTCCTTGCCAACTCCAATATGGGCAGTTCCCTTTCCAAGCGTTGTTTTATGCCCACATCTCCATGTGAAACTATCTCATGCCAATGTTTCTGAACTTAACGGGTAAGGCATATTTTGGTTTCAACAGTAATATGACAGTTGGCATCACTTGCTTGAAATTGAGAATAAAATTGATTTTTTAGTTCTACATTTTCAAGATTTTGTACATCGAATGCTGAAAAAATAGAATTCTTTTAATATGGTTCTAATATGTATTTGTTCATCGCATCCACATTATAGTTTATTATTTATTGTTATTTATATTTTCTTTGAATGTAAAATGAAAATTGATTGAAGTAACTAAATAATGGACGTATTTTTTAAAATAATGAGTTTTTATTTTGTAGTAAGTTTTCTTATTGGAAAATAGGCCTTTCTGGTTTGTAAATATTAAACCAAACATTAAGCGTTATTTATTTCCTAGATTTTCTTTGTGCAATATATTAATACATGTATCATCTTTAATGTCTTTTTACAGTGTCGAGCGATTTTTCGCATCCTTAGTTTGTCCCCAAATGAACCCAGACGATAAATTATACTCGAGGTCACATCGTTTAAATGCTTTAGAAAACAATAGGTTGCAGGATTTCATTTTAAAGGTAAAATTAGATAAAAACAATACAACCTACGATACTATTCACACTAATATTATACAAGCAAAAGTTTGTGAATACGCCCAAAATTTTTGTCAAAATAGAGATAAATAGAGAAATAAATAGAATACACGCGTTTAAAATCGTTATAAAATATGTACTTAGGTACTCATATTTTTATTTTTTCCCTTAGTTTAAAGTATGAAAATTTTGAAAGTTAAAAATTTAGAAAACCCCCGACCATATTGGACCGATTTTCATTAAACATAGTTAAGAACACTCCCGTCTAATTCACCTTTCAAACAAAAAAAAAGAAAATCATAAACTTATAACGCCCCGTCGCCTTTGCGTCGAGGGTTAAAAAATCGTATTTACCACATAATTAGTATTTTAAAAGAAGTTTAAGAAGCTATTAGCAGAATTGTATTTTATAGAGCCACGAATAAAAGTTAATTGGGTATTTGCAAGAAAGCAAGTTATTTTTACTGGAAAATGATCGAGTGGAGAGGAATAAATGTGTTGACTGTAGAAATATCACAATATGTGAAAAAAACCTTTTTATTAACATTGGCAAATGCATCTACGCGTAGGTGCCTGCATACATAGATGGTTATGTGTACTACCCACATAAACAGCTCATTAGAACCTTTCCCGTCGTAATTTGGCGTCTCAAAATCGAACTAAGCCACTACTCAAACAGCCAGAAAGAATGTAATTTCAAAAGCATGATATAAATACGAGTATTTCTATGTGTTTCTATCAGAAAGTTTATATATTTGCTCGTATTAAAAAGTATTGTTGAAAAAAACAATAAAAGTTGATAGCAGTATGATTAGCTTTTCTAAATTTGTACGTGCTGGTAAAGTAATTTATTTTTATAATTTATAGGGATCTCCTACTTGCGAAGATTTGGTCAAGGTGTGCCATTGGCGTTCAGGGTATGATGCTGAATGGTTCCAGAAGGACTGCTGTGAGAAACTCCTGAAACCCATCTTCACTGATTACGGCCTCTGCTATACGTTTAACAGCCTGCCATTAAACGGAATGTAATATATACTGTTGTTTATCCAAAGTTAGGTATATACTTAGCCGATTAGATATATACATAGGTAATACGAAAGGGACGAGGCATGGGGATGAAACACCGCCAACTTCCCAACTCCGGGCCGTTACTGAGACTTACTATACAGAAAGACTCAATAACTAAACTTGGCCCGACCCGGGACTCGAACCCAGGACCTCCGAGTGTGCAGCCGTACATGCTAGCTACTACACCACCGAGGCAGTTAATACGATAAATAATTACCATATTGTTCTTCAGGAATAGATGAAAAAAAAATTGGTGATATCTCATTCTGTAAATCGAAATTTAACTTTTAAATATATTATATTTTTAGGACAAATGAAACAATATCCTGGCAAAGATCATTTAACCGCTTAGCGTCTTCTGATACCCTTGAGTGGGATCTGGATGGAGGATACCCGAAGGTATTTCCTCCAAAACCTGGCACCTTACCCTTTAGAGTCATGGCGTCTGGGGAAGTAAACGGGTTAGGCATTGAACTTTATCTGAATACTTCTGAACATCAATACGATTGTGATGGACATAACGTGGGATTTAATGTAAGTAAAAAATATAACTTTTTTATTTTTTAAGTAACCTGTTTATTTATTGAAAAAACAATTCCAATGAGTTCGTAGTTATTTACATTTTCAAAAACATAAAACTGTATCACTACTTATCTAAAGTAAATAAAATATTTTCACATTAATTGATTTTTAATCCCTTAACGATCTCGGACACGCCGGCGTTACAGTTAACAATAGATTTCTTAGAAATTTACCTCGAGGTGTTATTACAGTTTGCATTTTGACAGATATTAATAAGTTCACCAACTGATCATGTCTACACCAGCACGATACTGCGACTTCCCATGGACCGAATGACTACCATCGAAGTGTCAGCCATAACGTATAAAACCGATGGCTCTTTACGCGCATTATCACCAGATCAAAGGCAGTGTTTCTTTCAAAATGAAAGAAAGTTACACTTTTATGAATTTTACACAGATACTAACTGTAAATTGGATTTGAGGATTCGAGAGACGATGAAGCAATGCAACTGTATTTTGTATAACTGGCCTAGTGAGTTAAAACTTTGTGGTACTGGTTCTAAAAGAAATATTTCGTTATAAATATCTATCTATCAATAAAGTATAATCTATTATAGATAACTTTTAAGATTTATTTGCTTATCAAGAAAATTAAAGCTAATAAAATCATTGATATTACACTGGCTTTATACTTTAGAAGAAACTTTTATAAGTTTAGTAACATTATCAGCTTTTCTCCACGAAAACTTGTATGTGTAATATAACGAATTTTTAGTACTTTAGAGTGCGTAGAGAAAGCAAATAAAATACACTTTGTGCTAACTTAAAACTAATTTATGACTTTTGATGTTTTTAGGAAAACACGTCGGGAGCCCGATTTGTTCGACGAAATTAGATTTTCAATGCGTCTCTGAAGTTAAAGGTAACATTGGAGTATCTAAAACTATTACATGTTTTTTATAACCATAATAATATATAATCAGTTAACTTTATTATAAAATTATCTTATAAATATTATTTACCTACTACTACGTTTAACGATTTTAAAATTGTTCTACTTTATCTCTCATCACAATTTTTCTATTTTTCATAATTTCAACATGAAAAAGGTTAGTGACAAAGTTTCTATGATTTCTATTATTCTTTTCTTCAATTAATTTTGACTCCCCATACAAACTTTCATCCCTATTTTCAACCATTTAAGGGATGATTTTCGGGATAAAAAGTATCCTATGTTCTTCCCAGGGTCTCAAACTATCTTCTTACAAAATGTCATCTAAATCGGTTCAGTAGATCCAGAGATTACCCCCTACAACGTCACAACTTCACAAACTCACAAACTTTACCTCTTTGTAATATTAGTATGGATAAACTAACGACCTAGCCTTTGCTTGTTCCTAGGAGCCTAACCTCTAGGTCATAGTTTATCTGTAGATGTACTAAATTTCTTCCAAATCCCTTCAGGCCTTTCAGCGTGAATGAGTAACAAGCATACACACATATAAATTTCACATTTCTCATACTAATTCGATTACAGCGAAGGTTGGTGAACAACTAATATATGCGTACTACGCAGACAGTGAGGAACAAAGGCAGCCACATGAAGACGCAACATCGTGCTACCCCGCGTGTAACGATGTGCTATATTCCACCCAAGTATATTACTCTGACCTCATCAAAGATCCCGCTTATGGGAGTTCTGATTATAGAAATAAGACGTAAGTATACAGAAACAAGGGTACAAAGCGTTAGTAGATGCTTTTTAATAAAACTCCAAGGCTCAAAACAATTTAAGCATTTTGTTGATCTATTTAGATACAGCCTTTTTGACGCCTGTAATAGGCTTCGCAAAATAAAACAGGTGATCTCTTAAGCACGTATAATAAAATCATCAAAATTTCGGGAGCCCAATCTTTCTAGTTTTCTTCTCCTAAAAGCTTTAACAGACATACATTATACACAGACAGACATACATATTTAACATCTATAAATATACCTACCTATAAAGACAGCCTTAGTGTTTAAATATAAAAAATGATTCAAGGAACCTGATTCACTGTAAAGGATCGTATAGAGCTTAATACAATAGTTTGATCCTTTTTTCATAATGAAAGTTATTTTTCGAGTGAAAATATTACTTACTTCACTAAAAGGTTATTGTCGACTTATGTAAATACTAAATATTTTTTGTAAATTATAAATGCATTTGGTTCCAGAGGAGAAAGAACTCATATAAACGTCCATTTCTATAATGACATGTTCTTGGGTCAACATCGCCACGCCCAATACGATGATTATTATTTTGCAGGTAATTAAATAAAAAATAATGAGTTTATCAAATGATTCGCCTTTAATTTGATGATTAATTCATATTTGTCTTGAATTGTTAATTTTAAGAAATCAATATTGAGGAGTCTAGTTATGATTTTATTAGGTAGGGAGTATACGAGTGTTTAAGAGTGTGAGTAGTCGTTGGTTTACCTGCCTCGGTGGTGTAGTGGCTAGCATGTACGGCTGCACACCCGGAGGTCCTGGGTTCGAGTCCCGGGTCGGGCCAAGATTAGTTATTGAGTCTTTCTGTATAGTAAGTCTCAGTAACAGCCCGGAATTGGGAAGTTGGAGATGTTTCACCCCCGTGCCTCGGAAGCACGTAAAGCCGTCGGTCCTGTGCCTTAACTCTCACTGGTCGTGTCGAGTGGCCGTCCCACCAGTGTATGAGAGTGACAGGAATAGAGAGTGCACTTGTGTCTGCGTGTACAGTTGTGCACTATAATATCTCCTGCGCAGTTGGCTAGTCTCAATGAGATTGGCCGCCGTGGCCAAAGTCATGAGTACATATGATATTATGTATGTATATTAAACTCCTAGATAAATCTTTAGCTTAAGATTATTACATTTTTACTCTTTGGGACTATAAGAAACCTTTAAAATTTAGCCATTTTGAGAGACTATGGAGTTTAAAGTAATACGATTTCCTTATGGATACAAGTGTATTGCAGATTGATAACAGGTTTTAAAAATCAAGAGAGGTGTAACAGGGCCTGAGTAAAGTAAGCACGTATTGTTAGTAACACATATACAGGGTAAATAAATATTTGATATTGAAAATTCTATGGTGGCTCATAAACGTCACGTGTCACATATACATATGCACATATAAAATATTAAAATAATCCATACTGAACTAAATTGCTTCATATAACCTTTCTATCTCTGGAGATCGTTTTACAGAAACTAGCGTAAAGAATTTTACGACCGAAAGTAAAAATTGTCGAGTATAATGCAATCTCTTCTTGGAAATGGCCCTTAAATTTAGTTATCTGCATAATATATTTTATAAGTATAATTATATATTTTTATTTTTATAAAAAGGTATATTGAACAGTTTAAAAATCTACGTCTTAAGGTTTTCTACAAGTCTTCACAAATCTATATTTGAATCAAGTATAAGAAAAAGCCAGTAACTTGTCCAAGTAAAAAATAATTTATTTTTCAGGTGCAATAGGAGGCCTTCTCAGCTTGTTTTTAGGCTTCAGCATTATCAGTGTTGCGGAATTAGTCTACTTTGTACTGTTAAAACCCATTCATATAGCTTTTAAAGAAACTTTTTATGGAAATCACGCACTAATTTAAAAATAATATCAAAATGATCACCCATTATATTGATAAATAAAATAAGTATAATTTAAGTGAGATTTTTTCATTTTTCCTTGATTTTTACACACAATTTTATTTTCAAACTAGACACTTACTGTCGCTTCGCTCAGGTACGTACCTAAGTACATTTGAATTTTTTTGAGCGGAACTCTAATTCTTTTAAAAAAATAAAAGTAGCCTAAGTTAATTCTTATAACATCAACTATCTGCCAGTGAAAATCTCATCAAAATCAGTCCAGCTGTTTCGGAGATTAGCGGCAACAAATAGACAGACAAAAAAAAATTCAGCATGATTACAACATGTTTTACGGTGAAGTAAAACATCGTGAGGAAACCTGCATGTCTTCGAAATAACCTAGCAAGTTTTCGTAAGGCTTTCATACATATGCTATCCTCCAACACGCATTTGGCCAGCATGGTGGCCCCTTCGTATTCAAGGGAGGCCCGTGCCCAGCAGTGGGACGTTAAAAAGGGCTGCCTACATAATAAGTACCGTATATACATAAGTTTATATGTATTTAGTAAAAAGCTTTTATTTCGACCTTACAAATAGACACTTCAATTTATTTATCTGTATAGATGTCTTATGATAGATACTACATTTATAACAGAATTCGTTTATGGCAAGCGAATTTCACAAAATTAGATAATACCCATGTATGATATTCAAAGTTCTGGCTTCGACATACAAGTACATTATGTAAGTATATGTATGTACATTTTTATATAAATATAATCTTATATTATCTTTATTTAAAAATTGTCACTTTTAATAATCAAAGTTGTCAAAATGAAGTATAAAATCTTTATTATATAACGATTTTTGCTATAAATTTCATAATTTTATACGATTTGTAACAAATCATGTTTTGCGAAGACGCTTGCCTCGGTACCAATTGTGGGGTGGAAAAAATACGAGCTCTCAGTGACTCTCTCAATGCAGATGTTGTTGAACAACTAAATGAATCCCAAGGACTGGTTCAAATTACCGGCTTTCTAAAGGAATCTAATGAATATCAGTACAAAAAATGTTTACAAGACAGGTCTAGCGTCCAAATTATTTATTAGATATTCTAATTTCTAGAAAGAATATGATTATATTGTTAGTTATTTAACTCTATGAATGTTTACTCTCTTTTTACGACTTCAAAAAAATTAGAATTTTATATTCATTATTCATATATTGTGGCGTTCGGACTATAATAGCAGTAATAGCAAAGAAGAAACCCTTATATCACCTTTAGCTCACTTCGTTGTTCATCTGTTTGTCAAAAGGCTATCTCATGAACTCATCTAGGGCCCGAAGTGCTGTAAAAATCAAACTTTTATACCTATAATAACTGATTCTGCCGTGTTGCTCTTCTTACAAAAACAATGATTTATTACATAACTGTTAGTATCAGGATTCAAAATTAACATATTTAACAATTTAGTATGGTACAATCTTTCACTGCATTTATTTTGAGCGGAAGTAGCTCATTTATATGTAGGTATATCTATACATTGTTATTACTATTTCTGCGCATACTTCGACTTGGGGTTTAGAAGAACCACAAAACAAATTTTCACTAATAGAAAAAACGATAAACGAGGAAGTTTTGTGTATATTATTTGTAATTATTTCGTGCAAAGTAGCTGAACTATGACGGTGTTTTATCAAAAGAACTATTTTCGTACGCATACATGGCTAACGCTGGCTAAACCTTAAAAGATACATCAAAACAATGAAAATTGTAGGTTTTAAAAAGCTCTACAGAAAAGTCCACAACATGCATATGGCACAGTTTATATGATACGAGGGACAGTCAGCAGTCTATACTAATATTATAAAGAGGTAAAGTTTGTGAGTTTGTGACGTTGTAAGGGGTAATCTCTGGATTTACTGAACCGATTAGATTAAATTTGGTAAGAAGATAGTTTGAAACCCTTGGAAGGACATAGGATACTTTTTATCCCGGAAATCATCCTTTAAGGAGGTGAAAATGGGATAACAGTTTGTATGGGGAATCATAAATAAACCAAGGAGATATTTTCGGTTCCAAAAGTTCAGTCTTAGTCATTGTCATAAAATTAGTGTTGTAGAGGATTAAATATTTTTTATTACTTGTAATTTAACGGTTTATATCTGTTAACGTAACAAATCATAAAAAGTTCTTGTTTAATACAGAATATCTGACGTGGCATCTTGGCGTTGGGTGTTAGAAGATTTGTCCAAACGCTTAGCAGATTCAATTAACGCTTTAAAGTATGAACACAATGCCTTACGAGTCGTTGTCCAAAGAGTACAAGGTGAGATAGACAACCATTCTAGAGAAGGGACTAGGCCTGGGGCAATATGTCCTTTGACAGATGCTGTTGAAAACTATATAACAGAGGTAACAAACAAAACAGGATTCCCTCTTTATATGGATAGATTAATTGAAATGAAAACTAGTCGTATTTTTAATTCAAACATATATCTCCAAAAATTACAAATATATATTTACTAGCAGTACACGCGGCTTCGCCCGCTTTCAAACTACTAAAAAAATAAACTCTTTGACCACCGACTGCAGCGCCACTTACTGGGTCCAATTATGTTTTCAAACCACCCGGGAGCCCATTGAAATCTACACATAAAATTTCATCCAAATCCGTCCAGTCCTTTAGGAGGAACACACACAGAAGAACACATGTACAGAAGAATTATATACATTAAGATGATTAAATTTTAATATATTAAATTGTTCAAATAATAAAACAATATTAGAAAAAACATAGTTGATTCCATTGTTCTATTAACAAAATAACTGGCACATAATTATTCGAATTATTTATAAGTAGTACGTTTTTAGGAACTAAAATTTCTTAAAGAACAGAAAAAGAATTTTGAACGACTTATTTTAGAGTTAGAAAAACAAACTAAGAGAATTGAAAAAATCAAGAACAGAGTTGAAGCAGATGTAACGCAAAAATCACAAGCTTTACACATAGACGAGACGTGTGTTAATAAAAATTATCAAGACGCTGTAGTCGAAGAATTGAAAAAGAAAAGGTACTTACTATAAATATATTATTTTAAAACCTTTGCGTGGAAGACTAAAATAGAGTGATTTTTAAATAATATACAAATTTATATATAATACAATAATAATATATATAATATAGGTACATAAGTAGGTATAATACTTTTATATTTTGAAACAAATTCTGATTTTAAGCATTTATTATGATTTATTACGAAATCACGAAGTAGTAAACCGTCTGTGGAGCAATTAAAACCCGTACAAGTAGTTAAGGGAGTTCCTCGAATGTACCGACAGGTATTCTACCGATCAAGATAACATAAGGATATGGAAACCTTGATTTAGTAAAATTTTCATGATTTTTTTGCGTATAGGATTATGTGTATCATTGGTTCAATATATTTTACATTACAGGGGATTTCCAGTTGCATGTTGGATAAGACGATGTGCAGCATTGAAAAGAGCCGGCCTAAAAGCACTTTGTAATGCTATTACAACGAGGCAACAGGTATACAAACTGAAAACTTACCTAGAGATGTAGTATTGTGAGCAACAAACTCCAACAGCAAAAGATGTTAATAATTTCTTCATTGATATTCTACGAACCATACTAGGCTATACTTCCATACTATTATTATAAATGAGAAAGTAACTCTCTCTGTCTGTCTGTTACCTTTTCACGCTTAATTCGATGAACCGATTTAGATGAGGTATGGAGATAGTTTGTGACCAAGGGAAGGAAATATAAGTTTCTACCCCGGAAATCATCCTTAGGGATGATGATTCTCGGGATGAAAAGGGGGGTGGAAGTTTGTATGGGGAATCAATCGTTCTCAAGGGATTTTTTTTTAATTTTTAGTCTATTCTATACTAACCGTTAAAACGTAGCTAGAGACGAAACCGAGCAAAGCGAGGACGAGTCACTAGTATTTATAATTTATATAGGTACATACATTTTTCCTGAATCAGTTAAAACAGAGCTAGAATTTGGAATTAATATATATATTTTCAATAGTTAAAAATAGATTAATTAGCCTTTTAATTCAGCCTTTCTTCTTTGTCTGAACTTTTGAACTTGAATGAACTTTATTCATTTAGATTTATAGAAACATTTATAGCTAGCCAACATATGAGTTAATTTATATTTCTTCCACACATTTTCATCAACAAAACAAGAAATTCTAAAACACCTACCTAATATAGGTACTTTACTCAGAAATATAATTTCAGATTGAAATTATAGAAAAGGTAAATCTAGGAATTATTGTTATATTTATGTTTTAATAATTACTTTTAGATTCGAGGAGCTCGAGTGCAATTATCCATTTCGGCGCAAGCTTATGCAGCAAGGGTTGATGCAGCGTTACGAAGGCGTTTACACACAAATAGGATAAAAATTCAAGACCTTAAATGGCAGAGAGAAGAGGTTGTAGGATCGATACTAATATTATAAATTTGAAAGTTTGTGAGAACGGAAGGATGTTTGTTACTCTTTCACGCCAGAACGGCTGAACTGAACTAGATGTGGTACAGAGATAGATAATAGTCTGGAATAACACATAGGTATTTAACTTTTTATCCCGGAAAAATGTACGGTTCCCGTGGGATAAAAATGTTTTTAGAGAGAAGCGAGGGTGAGTCGCTAGTATAATTAATTTTACAATTTTACTTTAAATCTATATAAGAAATCCACAATTATGAGTCTTAAAGGAAAAGTGCAAATATAAGGAATCATAAATGATCACATATAATACTAACCAAAAAAAATATACTAGATGCAAACAAAATCTCCTCCTTTTTTGAAGTCGGTTAAAAAGGTATATTCCCTTATATGCAATATATATAAATATTCATAGGCAGTTCGAGATTTTACATGTTTAGAGGAAGAATTGGCGATGGCTGAGAAGACACTCATTGAGACTTTGGATCAAGAACGTATTGCCGAAGCCAGATTTGGGGATCGCACTCACCGACCTAGTCAGGAGCTAATCAAGGATGATGTTAACCGAAAATTGCGAGATGAACAATCGCAGCTACGAAAAATTCAAAAGCAATTAAGAAATAATATTAAGAGGATCATGTAAGAATACTTATGTGCAACATTTTGGATAATTAAGTTGACAATCATATTATATATTGTAAATAGACGACATAATATGATAAGTTTATTTCTTATGACCTGGGCGAACGAGCTTTGCTCGGCTGTTTTTGTTTTTGTTTTGTTTTTGTAATATTGCGTTTTTTCAAAAAACACACCTATGCATCCAAACATCAAAAGCAAAACCTTATCTAAATGCGAAATTTGATCCAAATCGTTAGAACCGTTTCAGAGATACACGAAATAAATTTATTTAATATTTACTACTTAAATACAAGATTTCCTCGTTCAATATTATTAGATTATATTACCTACGTATAAAAAACCAAGTTGCTTCTTTTTGTACATATTGACGTCAGACCCACAACTCGTAAGTATATTTGTTGTCTATCGATGACTTCAAAATAGCTTATCTCATATTGAGCTCATTTGTACGCTACCAAAGCCATAAAAGATCTTGTAGGTATGTATTAATTTCCGCAATGTGTGAATCGATTTTTTAGATTAAAGCAAGGCTAATATTGGCTCTTTTATTGTGAAAACAAAAAAAGGTTCGGAGAAAGAGATATTTTTTATATTCAGAGAAAAAAAAAATAGATATTTTATCAGATTATTACTCGCACCTCTGATATTTTCATGTGCAAATCATTTCCAACACGATTACCACTTGTCTTACGGTGAACGAAAACATCGTGAGGAAATCTGAATGTCTGAGAGAACCAAGCAAGTTTTCAAAAGACATGTGAAGTCCGCCAACCCGCACTTGGCCAGCGTGATGGACTATGGCCTGATTCCCCTCGTCCTGAAGGGAGGCCCGTGCCTAGCAGTGGGATGATAAAATGCCTGAATACAAGATTATTATTAATTCGAATGTTCGGTAATAATTTAAATTATTTACATTTTTTCAGAACCTTGCAGAACAATTTGAGTGAAGCAATAACACAAATTGATTGTTATGCAGAAGATTTAGCCCAAGTTATAAGCTTAGATGAAGATAGAATTCGTAATCGACAAGGTGAAGTGAGTAAACAGGATTCCACCACAGATGCTCAAGTTGAGCCCCATATAAAAAACGAATTAACTGTCATAAGGGAAGAAGATGAAGATGATGATTATCCTATAGACTACTAATTTTTACTAGTACCTATTTATATATTGAAGACAGCGGTAGCCCAGTGGTAATGCGCTCGCTTGGGAAGCCTAGTGAAGCGGGTTCAAATCCCGGGTCTCGCACATTTAACATTTTCATGTACGAATCATTTTCCAACATGATTACCGCTTATCTTACGGTGAAGGAAAACATCGTAAGGAAACCTGCATGTCTAAACCTAGCAAGTTATCGAAAGACATGTAAAGTCCACCAACCGGCACTTGGACAGCTGGTGTAGTATGCCTGTGTGGGCAGTGGGACGTTAAAAAAGGACTGAATATACATACATTTATATAATAATACACACCTTATACTAATGTTATTTTAAACTACTTTTGCTTCTAGTACTTAGATATTTAATGTATTGAAATGTTTATCTTTCAAATTAAAATAAATTATATTTTGAAAGCTCTTATCCATTCTGAATTAAACTTAAGACTTTATAACATGAAATTCAAGAAATTTGTCATAATCAACTGTACTAATATTATAAAAAGAAAGATTTTTTGGCCGTTTGTTTCTACCCAATAGGCTCCGAAACTACTGAACCAATTTAGATTAAATTTGATAAGAAGACAGTTTGATACTCTGGGAAGAGCATAGGATAGTTTTTATCCTGGAAAAAAATCCCTTAAGGGGGTGAATATGGGGATGAAACATGTATGGGGGAGCAACCTAGGGATGAATCCAAGCAAAGTGAGGTAGGTCGCTAGTGATATAATAAAAACAAATCTTATATTTTTTAATACTCTTTATTTTAAGATCGATACAATCTAAACAATGATAAATATGTAAGGAATTGTGACAATAACATTCAGAAATTCAAAGCTGAGACTAAAAATTAAATTAAAACTCACATGAGTGATATTTTATCCATATTTTTAAGCATGAATAAAAAATAATAAATACATTGAACATGTTGCAACTCAAGTTTGTAATATTTTTAATGGATACATATGAACATCAAAATAATACACATTCAAGACAGGATTAATATTACATCTTAAAAATCGACTTATAATTTCAAATAATAATTCTCCAACATGTATACAATAATTCAGATACTATTTGTTACATTAGAGATCCAATTATTACAATTATTAGAGGAATGTCTTACACTTTTAAACTTGATATATATTTTACATAAATTACAAATATGTAATTTAACTACTTGACGTTATATAATATGTAACATGTTACACCTATAATTTTATCATATTAATAAATAGCAAAGTAGGTACCTTTGCAATATTAGTTTTATAATATACAGTTTACAAAATAGAGATTTTAGATAAGTCATATTCTTAATACATTATGTGACACTTATTTAATAATGTCTGCTATTTAGAAACTTAATGAACACAGGGATAGCAAAACATGTATAAAATGTTCTAAGACAGACTTGCAAATATAGTACATAAAATAATAATTAAAGCCTGAAAAGAGATTTATTTAAATAAGCTTTATCTACACTTGCTAGTTGATAAAAAGCATTAACTAAATTGATTTAAGTGTGCATCACTATACACATGCTCTTCAATACTTTGCAGTTCGCAGGTCACTTCCATCTGACATACATTACAATATGCATTTTTCTCATGTTCCAATCTGAGAAAATCTTGGACAGATACATCCTGAGCTTGAATAAGATTAACAAGCTTCATAAACCAATCTACATGTGTTTGGGATTCATCAATATGTTGTAGAATGCCCTTTGCTGAATTTTCAAAATATTCGTCACACACTTTGCACCACATTTCGTCTTCGTTTTCAACAGGAAATATTCCATTTAAAGGCCTCAGTTTTTCAGCTACGTTATTACGATGAGCAATTTCGTTTACATGTTCTTCAATAATTTGCAGTGTGCAATACATATTACAATTGCACACTTCACAAGTTACTTCATCGCTTTCGCTGGCCATATAAGAAATAACATTTATAAACTCACCCTCTATTAAATCGTCGACAGTTGCAATCCAGTTTGCGTGATCATCATTTTCGAGATGGGAAGCAACAGAATCTTCTTCTCCAAAATGTAAATCACACGGTCTACAGTATAACTCTTCATTATTATAAATTATTCCATGTTCAGCCATTTGATCTATACATTCTTTATGTTTTGTGCCATTTGTGTGCTCCTCAATACATTTGTTTGCTTTCGGAATGTATACTCCGCAAAATACACAACGCATTCGCGTTTTGGAGCTTGCAACAATGCCATATAACAGGCCTGTTTTCATTATTTTATTTTATTTGTCACTTATTACTTCAATTATATTCGACCACTTTTAATTTCGTTTTCGTAATTTCTAGCAAATAATTTGTTTGAACGATTGAATTTTAGTTTGACAGCTGTCATTGACATTTATCGCAAATAGTGAAGTGTAGACTTAAGTAAGATATCGATCGCTTATGAAATTGTGTATCGCACTTACATGTAATATTGTAGGTACCTAACAAGAGTATTCGTTAAATTGTCATTTATTATCAACACTAATTAATTTGCTATAGCATTTCAACTATGAATGACAAATAAAATAGATGAATTAGTTCCATTTCAACTGTTAATAGTGATGTACGTATGTACTGCATTAAAAAGTTGCATATATTTATTAAAAACCACTCTCCACTTCAGTTCAGAAATCAAAATACAATGTCAATGTAACAAATATCGATCTGCTGGTGCACAAGTTAAGTCAACGTATAAAGTATTAATGATATTTTTTTTATTTCAGCTTAAAATTGTCAGCGCAGTGAGGAATTTCTCGATAAGTCAAGTTTATTTTACAATGGTTAAGAATTTCGCCATTTTCTCCCGCCAGATGTCACAATCACTATAATCTTCATTTGTATGGATTTTGTTCATATTATTTAAAATTTAATCAAAATGACAAATTGTGCAGTGGTAAAATTTAATTAAAATGACAAATTGTGTGTGAATATGATGAGTGTGCCCAAAAGACAAAAACTGAATAAATAGTGGGCTAAAGCAATAAGACGACTAAAATTGGCAAAATAACAATCTTTATATTTTAGGCTACATCATTTTACAGAAAGTGATTTTAAAACTGTAAAATCATTTTTTTTTGTTTTTTTGTACTTTTTTACACTTTTTTCACATATTAATTACAGAGCTTCGTTAAAACTTTCATCTCCAATTTTACCCCTTTATGAAAATGAATTTCAAAAAAAGCTACAACACGTATTTATTTAATTATATTGAAGAGAATTAATACCAAATTTTAGGTAATGCTGATCTTAAACATTCACGCTATAGAGTTTTACAATTTACTGAGGGCCATAGTGGTCGCGGTATCTGGCGCTTTATAATTTTTAGATCGTCTAGAAACTAAAATATTAAAATATTCTGGCAATATTGAATGAATTTGACATTTCATTAATTTCAGTCTGACATAAGGGATAAGACATTTAGTTTTTCTTTTAAAATGGCTCCCACTCGGAGTATTATTGGATTTTTAAATCCAAAAACTATTAGTGCAGTTTTTGGTAGTAATATTTCTATAAATTCATGTCGATTTGTACATAGGTGCAACAGTTGCAGTCATACCTTGGGTAGTCCCGCAATATCGGTTACTGTTAATGGTCGGAAAAATTTGAAGTGTAAGTTTTACATGCTTTTATTACATCACCGGCTGTTATTTGTTTTATTTTTTAGTACATATATTTATTTAAACTTGTATTATTCAATATAATTGCTTATATAAATTACCTTTTTGTACATTGTACAAGACATATAGCAATATTATAACATAACCTCAAATCTTTTTAGATAGTGAATTTATTGCGAAACATCGATATATTCACACTACAAATAAATTAAATGCAAGAGTTGACTATTATCAAGTACTTGGAGTATCTAAAAATGCATCAGCAAAAGACATAAAAAAAGCCTATTATCAACTAGCAAAGAAGTATCACCCAGATGCAAATAAATCTGATCCAGAAGCTCCTAAAAAGTTTCAGGAAGTCTCCGAAGCTTACGAGGTTAAAAGTTGTAGTTTTTTTATGTGAATTGCAAATAATTTAATCAAATTAACAAACTCCTGGGCTTAGCATAGAACTACTATAATATGTTTTGGTTTAAAAAGAATTTGGTGCCAATAATAATAATATATTCTTTGAGTGCTTTATTAAAAATAAAATTTCAGATACTCTCTGATGAAAATAAACGCAAACAATATGATACATATGGCACAACATCAGAGCAAATGGGCATGGGAGGTGGACCAGCTGGATCTGATAGCTTCTCTCATCAATGGCAATACAAGTCCACTATTGATCCTGAAGAGCTTTTCCGTAAGATATTTGGTGATGCTGGCTTTAAAAGTGAAGCTTTTAGTGACTTTGCCGAAAGCAAATTTGGATTTGGTGCTTCTCAAGAAGTAAGTACAAAATGATTATGCAAAAAAAGTGCCTCACATATTTCAGTTCTTTAAAAATTAATATTTAAAATTTTCATTTTACAGTTTCTTGTTAACCTAAAATTTACCGAAGCAGCTCGAGGTGTGAACAAAGATATAAATATCAATGTAGTGGATACCTGCCCAAAATGTATGGGTTCTCGATGTGAACCTGGTACAAAAGCTATTAAATGTACCTATTGCAATGGCAGCGGAATGGAAACATTCTCTAGAGGTAATCATGTGAAATATTATAAATGCAAAAATTTCTGAGTATATAACTCAAGTGTATTTGTTATTTCTAAACACTGTAATGGTTTAACTAATATGAGTGAAATTCAGTTGATAATGTCACATAATTTTTTACCTTACATTTATATTTTAAAAGAATTTTCATGAATAGTAATTCTAAAGCATATTTATTTAATAAATATAGAAATAAACAGATTATATTTAATGTTTTAATTAATTCTAGGTCCATTTGTGATGCGGTCAACATGTCGACATTGCCATGGTACCAGAATGTTAATAAAGTTCCCATGTGCTGAATGTGAAGGGAAGGGGCAATCTGTAAGCATTTAGAACCTGTATTAAATATTAATATTATAAATGTTTGTGAGAATGGATGTTTGTTACTCTTTCACATCAAAACGGCTGAACGATTCTGGATGAAATTTGGCACAGAGATAGATTATAATCTGGAATGACACATAGGCTACTATTTAGACCTGAAAAATATATGATTCTCGAGGGATAGATTTGTTTTTGTCTTTCTGGAGGTAAACCCAAGCTAAGCGAGGGTGAGCCGCTAGTTTAACATAATTATTGTTTAAAAAATTAATTTGCTAATGTAAAAGTCATTTAATAAAAATATTCTATTTTCTTTAATTATTGCATTAGATATTAATTCATTTTTCAGGTCCAAAGAAAAAAAGTAACAGTGCCAGTGCCGGCTGGAGTAGAAGATGGACAGACAGTTCGTATGGCGGTAGGAAATAATGAGGTTTTCATCACATTTAAAGTTGAGAGCTCCCAGTACTTTAGGAGAGATGGGCCAGATGTTCACACTGATTGTAATGTAAGTGAAGATTTTTATATCAACATTTTACCACACTGTCTTATAGCTACATTGATATATAAAAACATAGATACACATTTCCTAACAAATATGTATCTCTTCAAAAAGTGGCATCAATCAACAATTTTTAATATGAAACAATGTTTTAATTTTGTTGTCATCTAAAAAGCAATGAACAAGAGACTTGAAAAATGTGCACAATTTCGAATTGTGCACTTCTTTTTGAGGACACTTTTAAGATGCTAATAATTGTGTATCTATAGTTTTTGTATATTATTAATGTATAGGTATCCAATCCGTACTAATATTATAAATGTGAAAGTGTGTTTGTTCGTTTGCTTCTCCTTCTTTCACGTCGAAACGGCGTGAAAGATTGGCGTGATTTTTAGTGTCATGATAGTTGCAGGGCTGGAGAGTGACATAAGCTACTTTTTACCGCGGGAGATTATCGTGTTCCCCCGGGAAAACACGTTGTAATACAATCCAAAAAAATATTTATGATCAGAATTACTTGAAACGTGGTATTAATGCTTTTCAATAAAATTAAATAAATACGTGTTCTTAATTCAACCTATAAGGGGGTAAAATAGGTGATGACAGTTTTTATGAAACTACTTAGAGATTTTTTTTGTAGTTTTAGCGCGAGCGAAGCCGGGTTCTGCTAGTGTGTAATATAATTATGTAACATATATTCAACTTTTGTTTCATTTTCTACACTTTTTTATTGTATATCTTATCTTCTGATTTGAAAATGGCTAAAAATAATATTTCACTGTCAATAATTTTCATTTTAATGAAATGGATTTAATTTTTTTAGATATCTGTATCACAAGCTTTGTTGGGCGGCACTGTGAGGATACAGGGTCTTTATGAAGATCATACATTACAGGTAATTTGTTTTTTTTTTTTTTAATTTTCATTATATTCCTCTCGGGTTGTTTGTAACACGACCCATCACGTCGTCGATGAGCATTATAAATAATAATGGCGATAGAAAACAACCCTGCTTAACTCCAGACGTTATTTCAATAGCGGGACTCAATATGCCATCTTGAACAAGCCGGTAAGAGCTATAGGTTGACTGTATAAGTCTTGAATAATCCTTATTATTTTGGTAGGAAGTTCTTGACACTCCAGATTTGACCGTAAAGCTGACCAGTCCACAGTGTTGAATGCTTTCTCTAAGTCTACGAAGACAAGATATTTCATTTTATTTAGGATCTCCCAACAAAAGATACACACAATATACAATATAGTGGGCTTTTCTATTCGACACATTGCTCGAGTTAAAATGTAAACTTTGTATAATATTTAAAAAAAAAATTAAGTGTGTCGCCATTGGTTTTCTCGTTTTAATATCGAATTTTTCGCGGTTTCGTTTTGGTTTTTTGTTCCGGAAGAGGTTCCCATTCGAAAAGAAAAAACGAAAAAATAGTTTTATATAAAAAATCTAATACTTATGTAAACCTAAGAAAGTATAATATTTTCTTGTTTATTACAGATAATGCCAGGTACTTCTTCCCACAGTACGATTCGTCTGTCACGGAAAGGCATGAAGCGTGTCAGCCAGCACGGCTATGGAGATCACTATGTGCATGTCAAAATACAGGTAATTTTGCCATTTTTATATCAAACTAGAAGAACCCGCGGCTTCGCCCGCGTTCAATCTACAAAAAAAAAGAACTTTTACTTTATGTTATATAGCGACTCACCCTCACTCCGCTCGTTTTATTTTGGGTTTTGGTGTCCAACGTTTTGAATTATTATCTAGTTGTTAGTCGGCAAATATAATCCGAAAAAAAAGTTTTATATTATATGAGCAAAATAAATTTACTGTGAGTTTGATTCTTCTATTAGAATTAAAAGAATAATTATTAAAAAGTGCAAATATAGGTGGGAAAATCAAAGTAGTTTAAATGAACACCATTGGCCAGACCTAATATGGCGTTAGAGTATATCATAACAGAGTGATTAGTGATTTTTGTCGCTACAAATTGCGTCGTCATTTTCCTGTGTATGATATACTGTGACGTCATTCCCGTGGTATAGGTTTGTTTTTGTTTTCCTAGTGGCGAACCCGAGCGAAGCGGGGGTGAGTCGCTGGTATTTAATATATGAAATTGTACTATTAAATGAAAAGATTATAATTAATATAAAAAATTAATTAAATATGAAAGACATTAACGATTTTTTTTATATAAACAAAATATGTTTTAAATATGTATTTTTGCATTGTTATCTAATAAAAAAGGAAAAGATATGATTTTTACTACCTACCTACTACTACTTTCATACTACTTTCGCCTACTAATTTCATATTTTTATGTTGAGCGTACATACATACAAATATTTATGTATCATATTTCTAGGTACCAAAAACGTTGAGTGACAAACAAAAAGCGTTAGTATATGCTTATGCGGAGATAGAAGAAGACACTCCCGGACAGATACATGGTGTCTCATATGATAGAGATGGTAAGAAAACTTAGTCTTTAATTTATTTTATTATTATATGTAATTATATATTATACTAGCGGACCCGACAGACGTTGTCCTGTCTACACGTCTTTAATTTGAAAATTTCAAACTTTTTTTAATAATTTTTTTGATGAAAATTATTATTCAAATTGTGAATCTAAACCATTCCCAGATCCCCTTGAACACACACAAAAAATTTCATCAAAATCGGTCCAGTCGTTTGAGAGAAGTTCAGTGACATACACACTCACAGCAGAATTATATATATAAAGATTTGTCCTGTAATATTAAATATTTCTTATTGAAATGGCATTTCATGTGCTACAATTGTTTTTCTTAGGTTCTCATAAGACATAGTATAATATTTTTTTTGGCTTAAATATGAAATATAAATAGGTTTATAGTTGTTGAGTAGACAAGAGCAACTAGGTTTAGTTTTTATCCCCATTTTCGCCCCCTTAAGGGGTGCTTTTCGGGATAAAAATCCTATGTCCTTCCCAGGGTCTCAAACTATCTTCTTACCAAATTTCATCTAAATCGGTATCAGTAGCTTCGGAGCCTCTTCAGTACAAACAAATAAAAAATCAAATCTTTCCTCTTTATAATATTAGTATAGATATAGATAGGTACTCATGATTTAAACAGTAATATATTTTTGTATTGGGCATTAAATAATACATTGGAGAGATTTTGCACTTTAATAATAATATATTTTCTGAACATTACAATATAATCTAATAGAGATATGTATCTTAAGGGCGCACCGAGGCAATTACGAAATATTTGCGTTCGTTTGATCCCTTACTGTATATTGTTATTACTAAAACTTTAATTATGCAAGTAATATATAGGATATTTAAGGATTTATTCTATAAATCGTACACTTTAGAAACACGATTACTTGTAGTTTCCTCGATGGAAAAAAATCCAAAGTGATCTCGCAAAAACAAAATAAATCCTTAGTGCGGCGTAAATGATTCAAACAAGAGCATCAGTTTTTTAATAATAACAAAACTGTACGTTTTCTATAACGTATATAGGTTACATTTTCAAAATGTGTATTTGTTTTAATAATATAAAGGAAATACCTAAATTCGCACGCGTTCCGTCCATCCTCTAAAAAGCTCGGTGCCCCCCTAATATAGAACATTTTGAAGAAACCAAACAACTGATTGCATATATTGGTATATTATTTTGTATTGGTTTATAATGTTATGTTTGTTGAAATACCATAGACATTACCACCAGATGTATTATTTTGCAGAGAAAAATAGGAAAGATTCAAATGAATCACAAAAAATACATGAAGCTAATCGCGAACACGAATACGCACGGGATGAGAAATGGAGCTTTCTAGACAGTCTCATAGACTCTTTCAATAGGAATAGGATGAATTTTGTCTTTGGTTTCGTAATGTCGGCACTATTTTGTTATTATTACATGCTAATGGATCCAAATAGCAAAGTTGATTTGAATAGAATGATGGAGAAGTATGAAAAGCCGCAAACAGAACTGCCCAGTTCCGATTTGCCCTTAGGTTATTCTGATGCTATTCGTAGGAAGAGGAAAGAACACCCCGAATTGTATGAAGCGTAAATTATAATGAATGGGAGTGGGTTCGATTTCCGCTTTAGGCAAATTGTATTGATCATACATATTATGTTTGTTTGTTTCGGTCGAATTCAACATGATAAAGACAAAAATGAAATATTTACTTATATTTTGTTTTTCATGAAAATAGTACTTTGATGTACATTCTTGTTAATTGGTTCTGTAAAACCATATACGTTTGAACTCTTTACAGTTTGTATTGTCATAATTGATGGGGATCATAATTAAGTGGAATCTAGAATTATATGTTATATATACGTAGGCATTTTATGTTATATTTATGTCTGCGTTTATTACGAGTATGATACCACATTTATCTGTCATCAGCAATTTAAAGATAGTTTTATGTTTAGCACAAAATTTAGATGGCTTTATAATCAAAGTATGAATATTGATCGTATTCTGTAGTGACATCTAAGAATTATATATTATAAAACTAGCGACTCAGCATCGCTCCGCTCGGGTTCGTCCTTAGTTGATATGAGATATTTTTCCACAAGAGAGAAATTAGATATTTTCCCACAGTTAAAAGTATCCTATATGTTGCCGGATGAGCCGCTATCATTATACCAAATTTCATCAAAATCTGTCTAGTGGTTATCTCGTGATGTGTTTCCAGACAGACAATATACAATACAATTTTATTATATGTTTAGATAACTTTTCCTATTACTCGTAGCTAAAATGCTTATAGTATTGATGATCGGCGATTTTAAGCGGTCGAATCGTTTATTTCATTTATTGGAATTTAAAATCGCTAATTGTGAGCGCTAATGGTTTAGGTCTTAATGTAAATATTTTTAGAGTTTTCATAGCATTTAATGAAGATCTTTCTTAGAATTACGCGAATATTTGACATTTTAAATAAAACTATATTTTCGGATTATTTCTTCTTCTTCACAGTTCTTGTCTGTAACAAGTGTATAAAGCATTTGAGACGTCTATAACCTTAGTCTCTCCCGTGACCATGACTGCTGTAAAGCATTCGAAACGTCGGGAACCAAAAATTTAAATAAATCCGCGAAATAATCCCAAAAGATAGTTTTATTTAAAATTTAATGCATTGTTTAGTTATTTATTTGATTTGTTGTGTAATTAGAGGTTATAGTATGATGGTTATGTACATATATAAAATTGTATAAATCCGATAATATATAAACAATATAAATATCTGCTGTTTTATTTATAATCCTTTAGTCCTAACACCATCATGCTATAATCCTAAATGGCTGAATATTAAAATTTGAAAACTTCATCAAAATCAACATAGCTCTTTAGAAATATAAAATATTAGCGGCTCACCTCTTCGCCTTTAGAAAAACAAAAGCAAATATATCCCTCGGAAACAGTATATTTTTCTGGGATAAAAAGTAGCCTATGTGTTATTCCAGATTATATCTATCTCTGTGCCAAATTTCATCCAGATCCGTTCAGCCGTTCTGACGTGAAAGAATAACAAACATCCATACATACTCACAAACTTTCACATTTTATAATATTTATACAGACTAGCGACTCGTCCTCGTTTCGCTCGGGTTCGTCCTTAGGTTGCTTGCCCATACAAAGTTTCTGCCCTTAATGGATGATTTCAGGGATAAAAACTATATTATGTCCTTCCCAAGTTCTCAAACTATCTTCTTACCAAATTTCATCTAAATTGGTTTAGTAGATCCAGAGATTACCCCTTACATCGTCACAAACTCACAAACTTTACCTTTTTATTAATATTAGTATAGATAATCAACAGTAGTAGCTTTGTTCATTTTTTTGCATACAATTCAAATGATTAGTAGATCTAGTAAATGGTTTTTTATATAAAAATAAATAAGCAGGTACCACAAAATAAATTTAAGTAAAATTTAGTTAGATTAATTTTTTTTGGAATTTTAATATCTAATTTTGCTCATAGGTGAGAAAATTTAATCTGAAAAGCGGCTATTTTGTAAGTTTTAACATTTTAGTTTCTTATTTAATATCTTCATTTTATGTTACATCGTAAATAACTTTATAGTAGGGGAGCCCAAGAGGGGATTTTGGTATTACTCAAGCGCGGCAAATTAAAAGTTAGAAATACTCGAAACCGTCAGACTTCCACAATCCCTATAAAAGATTTCCACAAGCCGAAGAAAAACAATCGTCCATAAAGTTTATGTGCATCACTAGAGATTTATTATTTTGGTTTTTAGGACTCTTGTGCATTAAATAATTAAATATGTATAATATTTTCCTGTTGAATGTTAAAGTAATTTAAACGATTTGTCGATTATTATGCCATATTAAGAGCTAGTGTTTTATCCTTCCTTCGTTTGGGGGCTCCTATGTATCTAACATTAGCTTGTGTTTTACTCCTCGTAATGGTTTATCTGTGTATTAAATTTCATCCAAATAAGTTCAGCCATTTCAGCATGAAGAAGTAGCAAATATACACAAACATACAAATATTTGCAATTTATAATAGCAATCCTGGCAGTAGCAGCCAAGTGGTAACGCGCTCGCTTAGGAAACCGAGTGATGCGGGTTCTAATCCCGGGTCTCGAATCTCTGATATTTTCATGAACGAATCATTTCCAATATGATTACCACTTGTCTTACGGTGAAGGAAAACATCGTGACAAAACTTACATGTCTGAGAGAACCTAGTAAGTTTTCGAAAGACATGTGCAGTCCGCCAACCCGCACTTGGCCAGCAGTGGGACGTATAAAAAGGGCTGAATACACCGACAGTAGTGACCCTATTAAGAAGTAATAATTAAAGCTTACAGATCTAATATATTTGTGTAAATAAAACCTATTCCTTTACAGATTAAAAATTTCAATAACTGCTTGCAAAAATTAACGAAAATTTAACATTTTTTTTAAATATTTTTCTAAACAGGTAAAAAAGTTTCTATATCGGAGCCGCAGAATTTGGTGGACGCTGTCAAAGAAGCGCTTAAAGAAAAGAAGAATACCGAAAGCGGGACTTCGGAAACCGAAGATGATGTGAAAGAATCTAAACGGAGCAAGGGATAGATAGTAATTTATGTTTATTATAGTAAGAGCTTTGTCCGTCTTTAAAAATATTAAATTAAAATTCATCAATTTTAAAACGTTCTTATCAATTTTTCCTTCTTAAAGAATTTTTATTTGAAAAAAAAAAAGATTTTTAAATCGATTATATCTTTTATAAAAAAATTATAAATAACATGATTATGATTGCTATAATATATTACATTTTAAATCGATTTTTTTATAACATCGATATGTAATGCAGCATTAGATCCTACTTACTATTTATCTAAAACACGTTAGAGCTCTTTCTGTAATAAAAGGGATTTATGGCGGCTTTGCGATAACATTTTATTTTGCGTAGCATGAGTAGTGAAAATATTCCAATTGTTTAGGTTTAATACTTATTAATTTACGGGGAAATTGAATTTTTATGATATTCACACAAAATATGACTTACAACACTGTGATATGTTTTCAAAAAGTTTGAATTTAACGCACATTCGATTGTGAGAAGCGAATTGTAACGATGTTTTAATCGATTTTGATGAATCGATAATTAGATAATATATCGTTTCACCTAAATTTTGAAGTCAAAAGCGCAGAACGTTCACGATCCGTTTTCAAATAAAGCGTTACGATGTTACGTAATTTTTTTTGTTAAATGATAATACTTTTTCATTATAAATATCTTTTTCCTAAAGCCTGATAAAGCTGTATATAGCCGTTGACTAGTTTGTAGGATGTGGTAATAAAAAATAAATTTAACTCGGTTTTTTCATTTTCCTTCAATCTTCATCCCAAAATTTTACATTAAGAAAATGAACATGCAGACTTCAGAGTGGGTGTCAGTTATTTTTGGTAACCACAATAAAAAATATTATATTGTCTATACTAATATTATAAAGAGGCAGAGTTTGTTTGTTAGTTTGAACGCGCTAATCTCAGAAAGTAGGTACCACAGATATAATACAAGCTGTACTATTTTTATTTTTTTTATTATTTATTGTCTTGTATCTATGGTAGGTACTAATCCGATTTGAAAAATTCTTTTTGCATTAGATAGTCCCTTTAATGAGAAAGGCTATATAATATAATTATATAGACTATCTATTTCATAACTAACCATTAAAACGTACCTAGGGACGAACCAGAACGAAGCGTGTGTGAGTCGCTAGTAGTATTATAAAAGCGAATTTAGGGTAATAGCTAGTAAATACATTATCTAATAAAACAACAGTTACGTCTGAGTAAACAAGGAAATGAAAGTTAATTAATTGACTACATCGCCCTTTATCTTCATCAATCAAAATATGTCAGAAATAATAATTACAGTTTGTCTAATATTAATAAGCTTGATTAATTCATAGTAGCAATAAATTGTGATGTGCCTTAAACTGGTAAAAATATTTTTAAAGGCTGCTATAAATCTAGATTTTTATCTTTCGGAACGCTTTCTGTGATTCTGTTGTGAAAATGTATGTAAACAATGTACACAGAATAAATTCGTGACTTGCTTTAACTTAGTCCCTGTTATTGCGCCGTGATGGTTTTCCTTTTCAATCTGTAAAAATTACATTTTACCACGTATGTAAAACTAGAAAGGCAAAGTGAGTAGAATCGCTTGAAACTATGAGCATAAATTAGTGCTCATTTAGTGCAATTTTAGTGCCAAAAGCTAAAATTTGATGCTCTTATATTTTGGCAGAAAATTAGAAAACTGCTAGCTTTGAGTTAAGCTAGCAGTGTCACCGCGTAATACGCTAACCGCATAACACAGCGTACCGACCAATCTCCTTCGTGTCTTCTCCATTCTACGTGACATTGGCAAAGTAATCTGTGTTCAACTGCTACGTTTTGAAGCCATTAGCAAGAGAATTGAATTGAATCAATTTAACATTAATTTAGTGCTTAACTAGTGCTTCTAATTTCTTAATTTGAAAAATTAAGAAATGTGAAGCACCATTCAATTCAAATATACGCGTAAACCTAAGAAAGTATTATGTATCTCTTTACATCGTCATAAAATATGACGTATTGCGATTTTCTTTATCAAGAATTCGACTAATTGGATGGATAAAGTACTATATAACATTAAAGGAAATATATAGAAACTACAAGTAACTAAATATTCTGCTATAATTAGAGCTGTTCCCAATAGTAGCTAACCGCGATCGGTACTGTGGAGTGTAGAACATCGGCGCTCGCTGCTATTAAGTCCGTTTATTAGTTGCTATGTTTATTCAACTAACATCACTAATTGTTTCTATTAAGGCTACACTCATTTTAGCACCTAATTTGTAAAAGCAAAATGATTTCACTTAGAAATAAAAATAGTATCTACTATAGCGATTCATATCAAATTATAGTTTTGGGGAAATATTTGCTTTATGAATGGATAATTCTAAATTACATGTCACCTGCAAAGCTAAAAAAAATCTACCTTGTTGATTTTTGAATCACGACGTTTCGAATGTTGTATTTAAAAAGAAACTACAGCTTTATAAATTATACATATAATAAAATTGTAACCAAGCCGAATTTGTACATTCAATATTTTTTGGAAATTGTTATTGAAATAGACATTATTAACGATACAGAGGCCAAATCTATAGTTTTTAGAATTTTTGTCTGTCTTTCTATGACCGCATCACGGAAAAATCACTGGAGGGATTTTGATGAAATTTGGTATGGTGATAACTGGTCACCCGACTTAACATATAGGATACTTTTACAGCAGAAAAATATCTCATTTCTGAGAAAAAATACAAAAACTGGTTAGAATAAAACCACGATGATAATATAAAATTTTTAGCAAGGTAACTTACAAAATATGGCACAAAGTATTAAAATAACTTTTCTTGAAAAAAAAAGATCAATAGCGTTATTTTATTCATTAAAATAACTCCAAAAATATTTATTTAAGTGTTTTTTAGATATTCGACAATAGATGTCGCCATGTGTTTTACAAAATTTTTGTGTTTTAATTCGTATACGTAGTTTTCATTTCAAAAAATTGAATATTCAGATATGAACTTTCTAAGATTTTATTCGATTACCCGCGGCAAGGCACCGCCCGTATCAAATTATTATCAATAAAAAAACCTTTTTTTCTTTATAAATTAATAACATACCTATTAGTAATATTTTGTTGGCTGAAACAATTTTCAAATGAAAATATTTGTAAATTTTTATTGTTTAGTAAATGATGTTAATCTTTGTAAATCCTTTAATGTAAAGGTTGGGTTAATGCAAGGCCAAGTCGCGCTTTCGTATAGCAAAATATAGGTTTCGTATAACAAAATAATGTGTTGTTTTTCTTACTTACGTACTTTGTTAGGTTAACATTAAAATAAATACGAATAACATTTACGTGCCCACAATATCCATTCATTTTAACAACCGTAAAAATATGTTCGTTCCATATTATTTTTAACATTTTATGGAAAATAACTAATAATTTCATGGTTGTTACACTGACATAGCGGGTAAATAAAAATATTCCATATCTCATAAACTACGGAACGTATATTTTGCAAGATAATTTTCGATAAAAAGTATTTTACTAACTGTTATACCTCAACTTTTTCAGATTTTTTGACACAATTTCTTGAAAGATCGAAAAGGCTTAACGCAAAAAAATGCTTACGATTTTAATCGTATTAGCCGAGCCATATGAAATAATAAAAAAAAACATTTGCTTAAAATTATTTACTTATTTACCTTAATCATGTACCTACTTCTGAAACTTTTTCTTCCTTTGAAAATCATTTCGGAAAATATTACTAACAAGCGCTAACCCATCCCCGTTTCGCAATAAATTAACAATAAGAAAAGTTATTGATTATGTTGTTTAAATAATCTGCTAAATATAAATTAATAGCTGTCTATTAGGGGCCGTTCATAAAATACGTCACGCTAAAGTTAGCTTTTCTTTACCCCCTCCCCCCCTATTGTCACGCTGTGTCACACTTTCTGTGACCCCCCCTAGAAATATTTCGTCACAAATACTAAGACCCTCCCCGTCCTGAGTATGATAAATTTCAAATGATAGTATAGTAGTACTACACATTTTGTGAATTAAATGCACTGCTAAATGGCGAATGAAGAAATAATATAATAATAAATACATGAGAAACAGTATTTTCATTTGTTACTGAATCGAGAGCGCAGAGTACGTGGAAACCTTACTCTCTCAAGTATTGGAAAAACGAAGTCTCAAGTATTGGAAACGAAAATCGCAACGCCGCTAGAGCCGCGCCACAGAGCTAACGCTCATGTCGAAAAATGTTGTCGTAGACCCCCCCCCCCGTTCCCCCTTGTCACTTCTTGTCACTCTCTCACTCAGCAAGAATTACTTGAAACTTTGTATTAATGCTCTTCAATAAAATTCAATAAATATGTGTTTAGCATTTTTCGAAATTCATCCCATAAGGGGGTAAAATAGGGGATGAAAGTTTGTATGAAATCTACCTTTTTAGACTTTTTTTTATAGTTTTAGCGCGAGCGAAACTGCGGGTTCTGCTAGTATTCTATAAGGTTTTAATAGTTTTAGTTTATCTGTAGATAAGTATTGTGTAGGTACAGTGCCCAAGAAATCGACGTTCAAATAGAATATACATAAATCAAAAGGCGGCAAAAGGCAAACCTTTTGTATTGTGGCTATTGTGTCGCATTTCATATTCACCTTGTTTGTAAACTATGAAAGGAAAAGAAATGTTTTGATAAAACTCGTGTAGTTAGTATTTAGAAGTTAGAAGGTAATGACATATTTTTACCCAACTACTCTACAAGGAGTTGTATCAGTTAATTTATTTATTTAATAGGTATACATTCAACAGTTGGTATACATATGCAACATTTACATAAATCTTATAACTGCTGTCTTTATAATATACTAGCGACTCACCCTCGCTTCGCTCGGGTTCGGCCCTAGCTTTATTCTCAGTTCAAAATTTCATCCCCATTTTCACCCCCTTAAGGAAAGATTTCCGGGATAGAAAGTATCCTATGTACTTCTC